ATAGGCCAGGATTTTCTAAAGTTTAACCTGGATTACTTTGAAAATAAAATTCCTGGTGGCTTTTCTGAGAACTAAGAGTTCCTTTTTTTCTTATCGAGTCTTTTTGGAGGCTTTCAGTCATATATTACATCAAATAACTAACATCACCAATATTTTCAGTTAATGAGATAATCACTGTTACCTGTTACTTTTTTACCTGTGAGTATTTTCCGTGCAGGATTTTAGATTATCATTGTTCTGTCTTCTCTTTAGAAGAAGAAAAAAATACATATTGTTTTACATCATGAAAATTCTAAAATGTTGGGGTCTTTTCCAGAATAGTTCACGTACTGGTCAGTCGTCTAAACAGAGAATAGTCTTATTCTTCAGGAAAAATGCTTCTTCTTCAAGTCTGTGACATATCCTAGGTGACAGTCTTCATACAACCTGGAGGAGGTATACAAGATACTTTTCATTTCAGGTTTTGATGTATTTTCTAACATTTTTGAAATAAAGTATTTAGACTTGTTTAGTGACACAGACCAAATCCAAAGTACAACAGCATAACAAGCCTTGCTATGATGTGTCATGAATTAGAGTGAACCTGAGGAATGCATCTATAAAAGCACTCATTTGTTCAGTATTCCCAGTAACCTGAGAGTGCAGGGAAAATTACCTGCCATCTTCACCAATTAATACTACTTACTTTTTTGAGTTTTCTCTTAGTTTCTGAGGTATGTACAACATTGTGGGTGGTCATCAGAATAAGCAGTTTCTTTGCTGTAATTTTCACTGGCTGTATTTACCTTTTTTGCTTTCATACTGCCTCCCTGCTCTGTTCCTTTGTGTACATATGTAACTGCTACTTCTGCTGTAAGTAAACTGTCATCAAAGATCAATCGCCTAACATTAACCTTTCAGATCCTTGCAAGCCAATATGTCATCACTTCTTTCTTTAAGGTATGATTACCTTTTTTTTTTTTAGCTTGAGACCTCTTTGAAATTGTCTCAAGCTTTCAATATTTGGAAAAATGTATTAGAGAAATGAAGAGGTACTACAAATGTAAGTGATGGTGTGTGTGCAAGGCTCAGGATATTGCTTACTGCTCTCCAGCATTTCTTCAGACCCACACTTTATTACCTGTTCAGATCTCCCAGCAGATTGAGGGCACTCAGTACCTCTGAAGCTACTAATCTACTGTGCAATTTATTACAATGTTTAGTCTTTTAATTAAATTATCTGTAATTCTGGAGAAAATCAGGTGTTATTTTCAAAATCTGCTTATCCAGGCTCAGATGACGTGTAAACCTCACTGAACTGTGTGAGCTCACATGTGTGTTACTTGAATAAGTGTTTGCAACAAGAATGATGAGAAAAAGACAAAGGGTGGGAGGAAGAAAACACTGAATCCTTTCAAGGTAGTGTATAGTCATAACAATTGTCATCATCATCATCATCATCATTTAACCAGATCAGGCTTTTGATTCAGTTGTCCAGTTCATTTCATAAGCAGCAGAAAGCTTGGAAGACCAGCACCATGAGAAGAGAACAAGAAGCCCATGCTGAAAGGCCTCTTTTGGCACATGTAATTGTTTGCTTCAATGTGGATTTACAAGACAAAGTCAACACCCTTTGTCTGTAAGGCTGCATTACCCAGGTCAGCAAAACCCTTTCTCTACAGGCTGAGAATGCACAAACAAATCATTAGGGCGACCCAGTGAAGGTGTGATCACTTGTTGTGGTGCGGTACGGTGACCACGCGCCAGAGTCCTGGAAATTTCTTGTGGCTGCGCAGTGCATGCCTCTGCTCTTGAGAAGGGGTAGAAGGCCACCATCTGCTGCTCTGAACTCCCTGGTGAGCAACTGAAATTGAACAGGTTCTGTGCTGCGCTGCTGCTCTGCACTCCATTTGCAGAGGTTTGTGCATCAAGAGAGGACTTTTCTTGCACCAGACCGTGTTCTGTGGGTGCATCAAGAGGAGGCTTTCCTTAAACCAGACCGTGCTCTGTGGGTGCGTCTGGAGGAAGCTGTCCCTGGGCCAGACCGGCCGCGGTGGGACCCTGCGTGCCGCTGTGCTGCTGGAAACCACTAGGGAGCAGCGTCAGAGTGCTCTGGCCGTACCCGGCAAACGCCGCGGGCAGGGGAAGCTGTGCTGGTCCCACTGAGACAGGCACTCCAACTCCGTGTCGTTTAAAATGCTTTTGGAGCTTTCACTGTAAGATGAGAATAGCATGGACAGTCTTACATCACTGTAGATGCTAGGAACCTGGAGCGGTGCAGCACTGAGCGGGATGCCAACCCATGCGCAGGATGAACATACTCTGCATAAGTGGAGTTTTACATGCTAAGGAGTAAAGCTTTAGCTACTGATTTCACAAATCGCAGCACAGCCCTCATGAATATGATAAATGGTGTCTTTGGAATGCCGTAATTTTTAAATGTCAAATAAACCCTGATAGTGGCTCTTGAATTTTTGGTTTGGGTTTTCTGTTTGATTGTTTTAGGGTTTTTGGGTTTGGGTATTTTTGATTGTTTGTTTGCTTTTTTGATTGGATTGTTTGCAGTTTTAGGAGGGGATTTTTTGGGTTTTGGGTTTTGATGGTTCTTTTGTTATGGCTTTTTTTTGGGATTTTGTTGTTGTTGATGTTTGTTTGGGCTTTTTGTTTTGATTTTGTAACTCAATATCCTTGTCTTGCTTCCAAGATAAGAACCATCCAGAAAATTTGAATGTCAGAATAAATATTTTCAAGGATATCTGAGTCTTTCATCACACTAATTTTTGTTTTGACTTACCGCTGTAAATTGCTATCCTAAAATATTTATTCCTAAAATACTTGAAAGAACATAGGTGGCAACTTTTGTTCAGCAATATTATATCCGTTGTTATTATTTGCTACAACTATTAAAAAAATTGTATGTAAGTTATATGATTATTGAAACATTAACAAGAATGCATTTTTTCAGCAATATCTAAAGTTCTCTTGGTCATAAATTTTTAAAATATCTTTATTTTGCCTCTTGCTTTTATAGCAGAAGTTATTGTTGTGCTAATTACTGAAATGGAAATAATGTTGCTTAAGAGACTGTCTGAGTACAGTCAACATAATAGAAATACATTTGTAAACATAAAGTCATTTGATAATTTTATTTCAATCAGTAGAAATTACCTGTTTTGGGTTTTTTTGGGTTTTTTTTTTAGATTAAGAGATCCTTTGAAGAGAAGAAGCCAAAAACTCGGTATTGTTGCACTAAGCAAGTCAAGCAGCAGTACATAGATTTCACTTAATGTATGCTAGAATGGGTGTGGCTGTGATAATAAACTCATCTGTGGTATGATAGAATGGTAGGATATTAAATTATGTAACTGCATATAACTTACAAACAGTAAAAGGGGCAAATGTAAAGCAATTATTGATGAGTACTTCACTTTATTAAAATGTATTTCTGATTTCTTTTACATCTAGAGAGTTGTGGAGAGAGCTGAATAATATGTTGCTCACTGAGCTATCAATCCTTTTTACAAAGGTTTGTATATTTATATTGCACTGGTTTTCTTTTTAAAATTTCCAGTGCTTTTCCGTTTCAATCAGAGGTGGTAATGTGCATCTCAGGTAGCTGGCATCCATTGTTAAATCAGATAAAATAGCTGGAATAGATTGTTAAATCAGACAATTGACAGTCACTCCTGTCTGTCCATCTTTAATCCCAGATTCCCAAGTACATATGGCCATTCTCCAGGAATTCTGAGTGAGGTGGCAGACAAGTAGTTGTAAATGTAATGTATGATATTTACAGTCCTTGAGAATAATGATAATCAATGTCATCTGAATATTTGTCAGTCCAATTAAAGAAAATAGGATCAGTCTGGCAATTTTTTGGCTTCCATAGTATCTAACAAGTTGTAATCATTAGCTTCCCTGCCAGCAAATTCCTTATTAAGCAAAGACATTCTAAAACACAGGGCCAATAAAACCTCTCCAAGATGTTAATATAAGTGGGCTGTTTTAAGTAGATAAATGGACCAAAAAAAAAAAAAAAATCTCTACAAGACTTCCACATAGTGAAATCTATCATAGCACAGGAAGACAAAACACACATGAGGTTTAACATCTCACACCAAACATAAAATTTCAACCTAAAACATATAGTTTATATAAATAGCTCTTTAATGAGGGAAGCCAAACAGATTTTTTAATTCATCTACAGCTCTTTCAAGATTATCTGGGCACATATTGCAGTCTTTTTCCTGCCATTTTGATGCAAGAAATAGTGAACTTCAAGCAGTTTAACTAAGATTCTTAATATTAGATTGTGCTGAGGGACAGAATTCAAGAGGCAACATAGAGAAATACTCTGGAGAGCTGAATCACAACAGAAGATTTGTATTGGCAGGGCTTCAGCGAACAAAGATATTAATGGACACATCTATGTCTTTACTGTACCAGCATAGCTACATAGCACCTGTGTATGTAGCAGAACACTTAGATAGAAGTTCAGGGACTGAGAAATTGAAGTCACAGAGTCTCATACAATTCGTGTTGGAAGGAAGCTCAGGAAGCTAGTCAGCCTTTCTGTTCATCTTATACTGGTAGCCTTTGCTTGCCTTGGTGTCTATATGCTTCTTCTTTGGGCTCAGCCATGTCTCTCTGTTTATGTCCACAACATCAATTCATCTGTCTGAGGGTTGGATGCTGCTCATGTTTGACAAAGCACTGCAAGAAAATCCCCCCAGTTGGTTTTCTAGTTTTAAGCAGTCTGGGGCACAAGTCCCACCTCCCAGGAGGTGGGACTGCCCCTAAAACAAGTGGGGACTTTTTGAAGGGTTTCAGAGGGGTATTTCCACCCTGCACTGTGAAGTGGCAGAAGAGGGAAGGAAGAGGCAGAACAGCTGCAGCAGCTGGAGTTGCCAGGATCAGCTTGCCTAGCAACCCCTTTCTTAGGCAAGGGTATATAATTCAGAAGCAACAGCAACATCAGAAGCAGCCCTGACACTTGGTGAGCTGGGTGCACATTAGGGAGCATGGGAGCTGTCAAATCACCAGATGTAGAGCTCCGAAGCCTCCTCAATTTTTTGGTAGGCCTATCTAGATCTGCTTACCAGAACTTATTCCTCTGATCAGTGGGTTCAGAAAGAACCGTATATGGCTTATTACAGTGAAACAGCTATTTATACTAGTCATTGATTTTTATTTTAGTATTGTGGAAAACAAGAGTAGTGGAAGATATATTGGAAAAATAAATTGTACCATTCTATCTTGTTCTATTCACATTGTGTTGTGATAAGCAATTGCACAACACAGTAGATGATTATGCTTTAATAATATATAGAAAAACAATAGCAGATTGCATGAGTAGAAGCTATTATCTTTTACTAGAAATAGAATAAGCTTAGAGTGCAGTATCATCGAGTATTTTGATCTGTTAATATACACCCTAAAGTGTATTTTTTAATACCTGACTAATATAATCTGTTATAGTGTATTATATAGACATATTTAGTGTTATTACTGTTACAATTCAATGTGTGCTATTGTGATGCTGTGTTCTACCTATAATAGGCTTATGCAATTCCTATTTTATGTGTCATTGTGTATATTAATATTTATATGACTAAAATTTTTCTTGTTATTAAAAGTATAACAAAAAATTACTCCTTCAAAGATTCTAGGTATGAAACATTTAAAAAAACTGAGCAAACAAAAAAAACCTTCTTTAAATAAACTGTCTCTCTGCATATGGTCCTAGAACCATGTGGGGAGAGAAATATTAGTTAAGTCCCTAACTGTTTCATGCCACTTTCTGGACAAATCAAAATAACTTACTGGTTGTGTTTGTATGGATTTTTTTTTCCTTTTTCCCTCCAGAAGTTAGTGAGGTCAAAATATGGCAGCCTGTGTTTGTGCATTTTGTTTGATTTCTGAAGAAGGATTATAAACTTAGGAAATGGAATCCATCCTTTCCCTTTTCTCATCCTGTCTTTTTTTGACTCTTTTTTTTTTTTTTTTTCTTTTTTTCTGGCAGGTGGTATTAGTGGAGGGGTGGCATGATTTAGATAACAAAGACTATGACTGTTGGCCCCTGGAAAAGCCAGATGAGTATAACATGCTGGACTGCGGAGGTGAGTGAGTCATAAAGAAGACTAGGTGTCTTTCTTGGGGAATGGCTGAAACCCCAAGATTGAAGTATTCATAATAATAGCTTACTCATGATGGATGTTATCCGTGGTGAAAAGCGTCTAAATCAGTGACAGCCTCTCTTCCTGAGAAACAAGTGAAACAAAACAATTAAAGGTACTTTGTTCTGTTGGAACAAAGGTATACTTTGTCCAGTATACCTTTGTTCCAACAGAAAAGTAATAACAGCAGCTGTATCTATTTGCCCAGAGAGAAACTGAAAACATTTTCTTTCTCATTAGAAAATCAAATGGAACTTAATCCAAACAAAGCATGGAGGCAGCACAGTATTGTAGCAAATCTAATTGATGAAACTTTGCAGTGTCATTTCAAAAATGTATTGTGCTTAATCAGTGAGCCAGTAAGCAAAATCACTGATTCTGCATCGTGCTTTTCCACCTTGCACAGGACTCTTCCATGAGTACCTAAAAAAACCCTGAGACTTTAACCACTTACTCCTGCCAGTTTCCAAAATGAATTTACATGATGAGATAGCAACAACAACAACAACAATTTATATTGGTAATTTATTGAGATGAAAAACTAATTAAGGAGCAACTGTTATGTGTAAAACTGAATTTAAGTACAAGAAAAGTTTCTTGTACTTTCGGGGTTATAAAGCAGTAGGGCATGTTTCTCAGAAAAGTTGTGGCTTCTCCATTCTTGGAGATTTTTAAAACCTAACTAGATAAATGCTAGAGAAACATCCTTGAGATGACCCTGCCTTGAGCAACACAGGCTTGGACTGAATGATTTCTGTGGGTGCCTTCCAAATTCAACTCTTCTATGATCTTGTGACTCTGTAACAAATAAATGACTGATGTAAAGGAATGGTTTGTTTATGTTGTTAAAGGTAGGACTGGAGACAAGCATTCAATAGGGTTTTTAGGAAAAAAACAAGAGCACCTCAGAAGGTGGTTCTAATAAAACACTCCAGGAGATACACTGCTGTGTCACACTCTTAGCTCAATGTTACAGTTAAACATTCTTCAATTAATTCTCTTGGAACAATGAAGTTCAGAGACTTTCTAGATAATTTCAACTAAGGCTTTTATCCCTGTATGAATTTACTATTGGTTTAACATTGAAATAGCTATTTATCACTACAGATGCCTTGTTTAAAGCTATTTTTACTAAGTACAAGGAAAGCTAACATGAGAGGTTGCTTAATTAATGTATACCCATTACAATCAGTTTTAGAATGAACTTCTAGCTCTATCCTGCTTTTCTTTGTAGGTTTTCTTTGCCATTTTCTGGGCATTGCTAGGAGCAAAACAAAACACATATACTGTAGCCTTACTGCTGTGGAATTAACAAAAGATTTTCAAAGCTTTTATATGTGGGAGTAACTGTCATTGAAAGACGAGTTTGGTTTACCTTTGTGAAACCTTTATAAGGAAGTAGAAAATAATTTAACTGAAATTTGTGTTGACCTTTTGTCTTCATTCTCATATACTCTTTGAAGCTCAACTCTCTTACCTTTTAGTAGAAATCACACTGCCTTTTTTAAAAAATCTTTGTATTATACTTTTTCATGTAATGTTAACAATTAAAATGAGTTTTTACTTTTCAAGGGAGATTATCAGGGGAAATTGAGATTATTTTACAAATTGCCTAGTCAAATCTGATAGTAAATTAGGGGGAAAATAGCGGTTTCAGTACAGTGCAAGCAAAGAACATACTTGTTAAAACAAGTATGAGAAACAAAAGAGGTCATAACCGCTCAAGAAGAACAAAAAAATGAGATGTCTTGTAAGGCAGGTTTACCAGTCCTCTGCAGAAGGAATTCAATATTTCCTGGCAAACTGAGTTACATAGTTTCATTATGTAAGTAATTTGATGGGGTGCAAATTACAACCTTCATCCAACAATAGACAAAAAGGTAGGTGAGTGCACTGGGAAGATTTAAATGGTGTTAAGCTTATGGATTTAAGACTTCTCCAAACTTTTATCTTACTTCATTCTCAGGCTTGGAGGACAAGAGACATTATGGGGGTAAATCATCTTTCCCAGATAAAACTGTGAAAATGGAAAATAAGTGATGTCTCCTTCCACTGTCCTCTGTTCTAGATGCCATATGGCTCCATCACATGATAATGCATTCTTAAATATATAATCATTAGTATATATAATTTATGTTTCATTAATTTAAGGGTTTTGACTGAATTTTGTGTGTAGTAGAGTTGTCTGTTCTGTTCCATAATAAGGTGTGTCTCAGTGAAAGCAGCTGAGAATTAAGGGCAATATTGCCTGATTAAAAGAGGAGACCAAATATACCAGAACAAACAGCAATGCTATATACTGGAAGCAAAGCTGGTTTACACAAGATGAGCAGATTTTTTGTTGCATTTCTCCAACTGCTTGGTCTGAGTGTCAGAACTCTTCAATTAATTTGTGCTTGTATTTACCAATACAGCCACTAAAATACTTGCATGACTCTTGCTCAGAAAATAATTGGAGAATACTGAAAGGGTTACTCAGAGGGTTGTAAAGCACTGGAACAGGCTGCCCAGAGAAGCTGAGGATGCCCCATCTCTGAAAATGTTGAAGGCCAGGTTTGATAGGGCTTTGAGCCACCTGGTCTACTAGAAGGTGTCCCAGCCCCATGGCAGGGGAGGACGGATTAGATGATCTTTAACCCAAACCGCTCTATGAACCTATGAATAGATAAAAATCAATACATAGAAAGTTTTACATTTGTATGTATCTAATAAGTAAAAACATATAGCAAATATTCTGACCCATGATTGCACTGTTTCTAGGGCTGGAGATGACATGGGTGCAAAGGCCTCCAGAAAAGGCGGTGAGTGGGGAATCCTTCAATGTGACCTATGCCTTCTTTGCTTCAGACAGTTTTTATCAATATGCTGTGCAAAATGGAGTACTTTCCCACAGGTATTACTTCTTATAAAAATGCTATCATGGTCATAAGTATATGAGGATTTTGTGTGTACATATTCAGTGATATAATTGGAACAGACACTCTAGAGTTCTTCATCATTTCCTTCCATCTTTTGAGATCTCTCATAGCTCTGTTTGCCCTGCTGTTTTTCCCTTTGCTCTCAGACTAGCCATCATGGCATGTTTTCCTGCTAGGTCAGAGACGGGTCACATCACTACTGTCACAGTGCAAATGTGGACATCACTTCTTGCCTTCTCAACACATTGAATTTATAGCTGAAGTTTATTCATGAGTCACAGGCTCTCTGTATCTTATACTCATTCCAGTCACAAGTATGATCAAGTGCACAACATGGATATGAAAAAGAGCTAGTCCAGCCCTGAATCCATTTAATTCAGTGGTCAACCGTGCTTGATTTCTGTGGGATTAAAATCACTCCTAAAACTTATATGTCAGCTCACATACTGTCTTAATGACTGTGGACATCAGTAGTTAAAGAATATGTAGGGGTGCAGCTCCAGATCTACAGTTCTGGATCTATAAACCCAGGGGCAGTACACTCTGATTTCATGCTTTTGTCTGTAAGTTGCAATTCTCTATTCCATATAGGAACACCTGAGACAGAGGGTGGGACCCCACTTTCTGTGCTATTGTGTAAGAGATGTTTACAGAACATTTTTCTCTGCCTGAGTCTTCACATTGCAAAGTTCAATTTGTAAGAGCTGTTATCCTGTGTTATTTTATTTCATATTGAAAGATGATCCATAATCTGTTTGAAAAAGATGATTTTTTTATTATTTCGGTCATGTATATGCTATGTTTAAAAACCACTTAAAATTTGTTTACCACATTTTCTGAAATGTGTGGCTGCTAATAGTTCTGAGAACTTAACCATGAAGCATGGTTTTTGACTGCTTGACATGAATCTGATTTTTCTAGTCTTCCCTGGGAGATCCACTCCCTCAAATCAGTAAGGAACTTGGAAAAGTCTGTACGCACCTTGTACGCACCTTGAACACAGAGACAGATGGCAAATATTTTATAAAAAGAGAGATAAATCTATGCTTCAGTTTTCAAAGGGATGAAATTTGCATCTCATTTTGTCTAAGTCTAGTTGACAATGAAGGTTACCGTTGACAATACCATTGACAATAAAGGCTGACCCAAATATACCTGAGGTTGGCAAGTCAGTATATGGGCATCAGTGTGATTGGATAAAGCCATGATGAAGTTATTGAATAAAAAGTACAGAATACTGGATAAATATTGAAAAAGAGCACTAAAGAAAAGTAGATGATGGAATTCGACACCAAATTAATGAATTATTTTTCTTAACTTCCAGTATGGACTCAAAGGCTAATAAATTTTAGTATTTTATCTGTTTGGATGTTTTGGAGATTGACATATTTGCTTATCTCATATTTCAAATATGTCTATGCTCTTGTAAATCTGGCCATGAATACAATCAATGTTAACCTAATGCTTTGTCATTTTGTTTATTTGTTATAATAAACACAGTCTTCTCATAATAAGCAAAGCCTACTGTTTTAGATCTACTCATTATTGGCTAATTCTTTCATTAAGAACAAGCCAAAAAATAAATCCTGTGTTCTGAAATTGTTTTATAAATATCAAATAAAAGTGCATAACATTTCAGCTGAACTGCAATTGATTCTGGCTGTATGTGAGTAAAATCTTGTTTGCAGAAAACAATTTTGTCTTACAGCTAGATTTATTAGAGTGATAACCACTGAAAGTGTAACTGAGGAAACAGTGTTGCATCACACATTTCAAGGTGAATACATTCATCTTTCAGGAATAAGTTTTCCAAAGTTGTTTTGCAGAACAGTCTGTTCAGAAAATCTACTCTAAATTTGAAGTTTGGGAAATTGTATCTGATGTGTAAGTCCATTATACTTATTTTCCTTGGCAATTTAGATTGTGGAGTGAAGACTGGAGCTAAACGGTCTCTATGTATTTCATGCATAGATGAAAGTTTCTGATTGAAAACTTTGAGACTGTGAGTACCCAAGGACACATATATCTGAGAGTGGAAGTAGAATAATAGTGTCATTGTCTGTGCTTCTAGATGAAGAAGTGCCAAGTAATCCCACCTGGTCATGAAGTCAGGTTGGAAAGAGTAGTGGAGGTTGGTCCGTGCTTGCAGCATGCTTGCATCATGCAGGTCCCTGCATGGCAGTTGGCAGAGGTCCAGTTGACAACAATCTCTAGTGCTCCAGGAGCATTTCAACTAGAAGACAAAAATAAAGAAATGGTTCAACAGTGTTTATTTAATATGTTTTTGCTGCTAATTTCTCTGTGTAGGATAAAGAGCAAGCTGTCGTGTTTTTTGCAATTTTTGTGAATGAGGAATGGATGTAAATGTTTTTCTCTTTCTCCTGCTTGGTTAGCAATGCTACTGCTGCAAAGGAATTCTGTGAGGATCATGACTGTCCTGCCAGATGGAAAGATGCAAATGGGGACAACTGCTGTGTCTACTATGCCAATATACATTCCTGTCCTTTGGCCTTCATGGTTAGTGGGATGGTGCAGCATCATGTGCTCTGTTCTTGCTACTGGCTGAGATATCATTGTGATAAGCAGGTTCAAGTTTGTGAAGTACTTCTGTGATTACAATTAGACCAAATTTATATAGTTTGCTATATATTCACAAATTATGGTTCACCAAAACCACTGTGGCAATATCTGTCAGTTTTAGAAATTTTTTTGCACTGGATGCTGAGGCTGCAAGGGTGTATTCAGAATTTCCCATTAGTGGGACCAGTTTCGTCTGTCTGAGTTTACCTGACTTGTACTGCTATGCAGCCAAGAGAGAAAGAAAGACAGATCTCTGCAATCTAAAACAGGCAAGGCAAATTTTCAGTTGGATGTATTCCAGACTCTCTTTTTTAGAGTGAGTGTGAATAATTTGCTTAGATTACTGGAGTTGGGGGGATGAGTAGTACCGGCTGTGACTTGTAGAACTGAAGCCTATTTACCTGTGTCCTGAGATAGAATGATTTTTCTTCATTGTATCAGAGCAAAAAAAAAAAAAATCTAAATACAATAGAACAAAATTTGTTCATGCAGTGAAGCCAAGATCCATTCTTAGCCTGTCGTCTTGGCCTGTCCCTCTTCCCTCTTTGAATAGCTACTTAAATTTCTGATCTAAAAATACAGTTTGGAGCACCTTTTTTTTTTTTTTTTTTTTTTAATCTGTGAGGTAAGGCTTACCCTGCATAAGAATTTTCATGCAGCTGCCTAGTTTTTCTAGTTAATCTCCCTTCTGGAAATGTGACACATTCTTTGTGATCAAAGGTGGTGTAATAGGAAGCCTAGCCTACACAACTTGCAGCTGTTTCATATACCCTTATGTGTGAAGGTCTTATGACTCCACCACAGCTCTAGTTTGCTTCTTGGCAGTCTTTCTTGAGGACTTGTTTTATTAATGATTCACTGAAAACCTTAGCTGGCACCAGGACTTTGGTTTAAAAGAAGAATCCCTGCTGGAATCATCACATCAAAATTTTTGTCTAGAACCATAGTAAAAAACTTCAATATCCCACTGCTTAGGTAACCTCTCTATTATTTCTAGTTTCACAATTAGTTCTGCTTGAAATTGTGGTGTGGAAATGGCAAAAGCATGTTCACCAGCATGCATCATCTGGTTTCTTCATAGTACTCTAAATGTTAGGGTTTCTGCTTAAAGGAACTCTGACTGTTACAGAGTTGATTATCACTGCATAAGATTGAACATACACTTCAAAGTCAGTTTTCTCCATTGTTTGAGAGGCGTTTGGGTTTTCATTGCTTTATTTTTTCAGTGTCATGTATTCTAAAACGTTTTATTTTTGTTAATGTACTCCATTTCTTTTGACTTGGTCTATTACTTACAGTCCTTCAAAAGAAATGTCGGAAGAATTATCTGGAATTAGGAGACAGGCTTAATCCTTTCAAGTAAGCAAAAAACTACAAGAAGTTTGGACAGCCAAAATTAATCCTCCATGTTTGCAGTTGTAGGAGGTTTAAATCTTAATAGCTTTATTGAGAAATATTCTGCAAACAGGCCCTGAAGCAGTGCCTTCCTTCCTCATTAAAGAAAAAAGAAAAAAAGCTGCTGTATCAAAAGCAACACTTCAGTAAAACCTCTTGAGAAAAATATTAAAAGTGGAATAAAATTCTAGTTCTGGTTCTAGCACAGGAAATCCAAGGAAGTGAACCAGCTTCATAAGAACACTCATTCTATGAGTACACTACTGAGGCTCACATTTTAAGAAATAACAGTATATGTGAGATCTTAACTGAATATAGGAACAATTGCTTCTCTGTTATTTTGTCATAGAACAGTGTTGCTTTTGTTTTGGCATGTTGATAGTTTTGGTTATAAAATAGAACTTTATTTGCTGTTAGAGAACATAAGTAATTTTGAGAAAGTAAGAGAGGAGGAGCTAGGACTTTCATTGAGTTATGGTATACTGACATAACCAATATGTCTCCTAAAGGCTAAAGGAGGAATATGTGGTCCATGGATCCCAGATGATGGTCGGATATTTACTCACACTTTGTCTACTGCTGGCAAAATGAGCCAAAGGAACTGGACTGCCAAAGTAAAGTATATTTGTTGCATATAGGATTTTACCTGATTTGCTCTTTTTGGAGCTTACTTACTAGTATTTTAATGCAGTTCATTAACATGTTCCCTCTTTCATTTATATGTATGTGTTATTATCTATATTATATATATCAATTATCAGTTGAAAATTGAGTACTATCAATTCCCAACTGACTTGACTTGGAAGTCAAGTAAGGTATCTTTACACCTTAGGTAGTTAGTGGAGGAAGTGGGGTTGGCAGGAAAATGAATAGCATCATATGTCCGTTACAGGTCCACACTAGGAATACATTTCACTACTGACTGGACTGTGATGCAGATTCATATGACCATAAGGGAGCTTCTACCTGAAAGAAATAACAGGAAAGCTTACATGGCAGATACCCCTACATGGTGAGAAGAAGACACACCAGGAAGGGAATCAGACCAGTCTTTCTCACAAGCGCTGTCTCTCCTGATTTTGAAAGAAATTGACTAATTCTTCTGAAGGTTACCACAGTCAGTCAGTTCTTGTTGTAAATGCCTACTGTATGCAAGCAAAGTTTTGAGGCTTGCAGGTTTGTTCACTTGTTTCACAGGTTGTTTTAGTTCATGTGGGTGTGACATCTCTCATCGCACACATCAGAGTTGGGAGAATCCAAGCTGCTCTGGAAGCAAAAACCACAGTCCTTCCTGCAAGAGGTATGATATAAAATGAAAATGTGAGCTAATTTCTTATTGACTGCAAATCTCAATGCTATTATCATTCATGCATAGTTACCAAGAGCAAAAGTTGTTCCTACCCCAGCCTTTCTTTGAAAATACACAAACGTCTTCCTGAAATTCTTCTTCACATAACAGTGAAGTCTGAAAAAGTGTTTGGGCTTCTAACAGTTGTATTAATCTAGAACAGTAGAAAGCCACTCTTGTCGAATAAGTAGTCAAATACCATCACCAATGGCTTCAGGTACTACAAGGCTTGTCTGCAGTTCATGAGAATGTGAGAATATTCCTCCAGCTAGTGTTCTGAGAATCCAGACACTTTTCCCCTGAAGGGGAGCAGACTAGTCTCAAATGTATTGGAAATGTAGAAATCCATATTGGTTCCGTTGTTCACATTAAATATTGTTCCCAAGGGCATCAGTCTTCCATTCTCTTTAGTATACCTGTATGGAGGGAAGCAGAAATGACTGTAGCAATTCTCTTAGTGATGTCAAATTTTAAAAGTGGACTTGTTTAATAAACACACAACCTGAAGAAAGTTATTGGCTAAAACAAAAGTGTCATCACAATACTCTTGTTAGCTACTCTTTTGGAAGTGTGAGAATATATTTCACGGTGCTACAGAAAAAAAAGAAAAAAACCACAAAGCAACTCCAGTGTGAATAGAAGTATTTATCTATAGCATTTTCTACTCATTTCAAAACAACTGCAGCTGAATTTTCCAGGAAACTTACAATATATCAGAGAAGAAATTTTAAAAAATGCAGCTCTACCCCTGAGACAGAAAGTGACTTCTGTTATTATCTTGGTATTATACTGGAATTAGTGAGGCTGAAACAGAATTATTACTGAGCAGTAGATTTTTTTTTTTTTAGTGTTTTTTTTTAATTTAAAAAAAAATTACATAATGACAGAATAATGCCTTCAGCTCACCTCTCAAACCTGAAGTACTGCATGATATTAGTTTAATCTTAGAGGTAAAATTGAAAGACCATTCAAGACATGGGAGAAGGACTTTTGTTATTTAAAACTTTTGTTTTAAATTACATCTAATATTGCTGATAATTTGTATAAGACCCTGGAGTAAAGTAAAGGAAATACTTGAAGTGTGGGTTGAAGATTTCTTTCTGCAGTCCCCAGTGTCTTTTGCTGCTGCTGTGGAATGGTCCTTGGCTTCCTGGAATCACTAGTGCTGGATTAAATACAAAGAATGCAAAAGAAAATGCTGGCCTTGAAGAGCTTTGAGTTTCAGAGAAAAAAATGTGGCTAATGAGAAACACAATGATGACAAAGTGATTTATACACAAGATATGTTAAAGGCTCAGATGTAATTAACATTTAACCTGATGAAAGAGAACCTGTACTACTTCAGAAATTCAGATTGTTCTTTAAGCTGCTGGGATGGTATCTCTGAATTCTTCAAAATTTATTCTTTCTGGGACTCTGAGGTTTCCCAGGTCAAGAACCACATGTTTAAATCTGAATACAATATTGTGGATGGATGAAACTGCCTCAAAATGTTTTTATTTCTAAATAGTCTGTGGAGATGGCTTTTGTGAGGAAGAAGAAGGCTGCTCTATCTGTCCAGCAGACTGTGGGGAATGCCCTCTTTCTGTTGATGTTAGGATAGCAATTGCCTTACCAATATGTTTAGTCTGCACTGGCTTCACTTTGACAGTCGTGGTAAGTACCTCTTCTCTACTCCTTTCTTTCCTTTCTCTTCAATGAATTTATTAGACAGAGCGGAGCTCTCTCTAAGTAGAGGGAGAGATTTTCTTCTGCCTCCTGCATCTGTGTGTTATGGAAAAAAGTAGAAAGAAGGGAAACGACTTTTAAAGTTTCCTTATGAGGGAAGTCACATTGTACTGGGAAATTTCGTCCTGAAAGAGAGAAGACTGAGGTGGAATGTAATGGGGGGATGGATAGATGAATTTACCCATGGTAAATTATGGTAAAGGAAAAAAAATTTCCACAACATGGGGAGTAGGTGATGCCAACAAAGTAAGAGTACTTTTCACTCACAATAGTACTCTGTTACGAAATTAACAGCTTCAAACCTTATAGAAGCCAGAATTATAAAAGATTTCAAAAACAAATTAGGTAAATTCATTAAGGGACTAGCTCCACAAGAGGCCGTTAAATCTCAGAGTCCAAATAGAACTTTAAAAGCAAAACATTCAAGTTGCGATATTCTCAAAAGAATCATGGGGAGAGGATAATTTGGTTTTTTTATGTTTTGGTTGCTTGATTTTTTAAATAGGTTTGTTTTCTTAGTGTAACAATCAGCTTGGTTCCTTTCAAAGTGATTAATTTTGCATAATAATTATCAATTACTGTAGCAGACTCCTGAAGGAAAAACAAAAAGGGAATGAGGAGATAGGAGTGTATCAAAATTGGAGAAGTAGTTTTGGGAGTCTTTGAATGAAAATGTGTGTATAAGGAGAGAATGATATTATGGCTTATTACTTAAGAATTCTTCTGGGAAAGAGTATCTACATTCCTTATCTGTCTGCATCTTCAAAAAAATACATTTTTGAGTTTCATTGCAGAAGTTTATCAGGTGAATATGGCAGCTGTAGACTCATTGTATTGACTATCTTCGTAACGGGCAATTTATTTAGCCCTTGGCCTATATATGTAAAACTATATCCTGTAAAACTATAGGCTCCTGTTTCCTCTGGGATTCCTTCTCTGTCCAGCTTATACTGCAGTTGCAGTGAGCATCTGAGGTAGGCAGCTGCACAGATAGGGAATGAGTAGGAGAAAGCTGATGGCCCACAAATTGAGGTTCTAAAGGAGGCCTGAATCACGTTTGTTTGTTTGTCACTGTGTGACTTTCTGAGTTAGGAACAGAAACACTGTTGAAAGCTATTTGAGCATTCATAATCCACAAGGAAGTTGTGATAATGAGTTTATGCCAAGTGTCCCGTAAAACCACATGATCTGATAGAAATATACAGCTGGACAGATGAGAAGTTCAGACAGTTTTAGATGACTGGCTTTTTAGAAAGACCAATGGTGATTCTTGGCCTTGCATATTTCTTTTTTATTTAAAGCTCTTGTAGCAAAGTCTATTATTTCTGCTGTTTTTTCTGTATGTTTGGAGTTTTTTTCCTTCTTTCATTTCTGTAGACATATTCCTGCTAACTTCTTCAATAGCAGCATCATGGGGTTTTTAAGTTTTATTTGTTTTACTGTCATAAGATCAGAAAGATTATTTTATCTAATTCAGGAATTGATATAATGTAAAAGGAGCTATCTGGGAAACTAATGCCTTCTTTAATGCTGTGAGTAGCAGAAAGGATTCCTTTGATATCAGTGTCAAAGGAAGCAAGCCTAGTATTCACTTCTTGCTAGTATGTCTTTGTATACTCACACCTTTGCAAGATAAAATGTAGGTTTGTTTCCTCAGAAGCCTTTTGAAATAAATGGGATGACTTCATTTTGATTCGGTGAGCTCTATATTTGTCGCAATTTCAACCAGTATGTCAACACAGTCTCCACAACCTCTTCCTTGTTCGTTATCTGGGCTTTTATTGCCTGTTTCAATGAATGCATCTGTCCTAATATTAAATTTTGCACTATAGAAAATGGTATAATGATGATAAAATGCTGCTTTGATTTGACATTTTGGCATTGGCTGCAGTCATAACAACTGCATAATTTAATCTGTTGCTCATTTGAAAGCATGTATGTACACTTTGTAAATGTTAGCTTTGTATGTCAGCTCTACCGAAAATCAGCTATTAGCTCAATGCCTTATTTACAAAGTAGCCACAGAATCCCTACCTAATATTCTTTATGACAGAGTATTTGACATAATATGGCCTAATCAGTAGGCATGGGCTAATTTTCTTCCAAGATATAAGATACATTGCTCCTTACCTTGGGATTGGGATGAAGTGTGTTCTTGTCACGTACTTCCATAAATAGGGCACTTCCATGAGATGAGATGATGTAAACCCCTCATCTGATGTCCAGGCTGAAATATAAATACATAAATATTGCAAATAATGGAGAGTTAGTAGACAATGCAAAATATTACATGTAATTAATTCTGGAATATAGCCTGTGCAGTTTTTAATATATTTATTCAATGCTGTTTTCTTTTAAGCCTGTTATTAATACTTTTGGTTCTAATGTTACTGTAAGACATATGCTGAATGCTTACACTTCAGATTTAGTTTGTATACTTTTAAATTTTTATATTTTATAAAAACAATCTCTGAGTCAATTCCTTCAAAGAGAGGCAGGCTACACTAGGAGTGATTTTTTTTTTTTTACTCTTGTAGTGGTTTCAATATCAGAAGCAAAAGATGCTTTGGGATGAAAGCTGGATTATAGACTTCACCTGCATCAAACAAGGTTAGTGAGTTGTAATTTTGATACTGTGATCAGTTTACTTATTAATTTTTAGAAATAATCTCAATTATGTTGTTCATATTTTAAGGGTCTTGCAAAAAGTGAAGCTGTTTTTGAAAGACATATGCAATATTTCATCCCTGTAATCTCTGTGAGCTGCTCACTTATATTTTTGTTTATCAAACATTTAGATGACAAAGTTATGTTAAATAGTTTCCTTCTTATTTATGTTGATTTGTTAATCAACATAAATAAAAAAAGACAAGCCTACCCCATAATAAACAGGTAAGCTCTGGAGTTGGACAAAACAAATTACAGTTTCTTCAGTGGGTATACCTTTCTGTATAATTGATCTCACTAAGTTGTCCTGGAATTGCACAAATATATTGAGGTGTATAGTACTATCTTAATTTCTCTCAGTGTATGCTGTCTGTGGCAGACTTGCTACAAAAAGTAATTAATTTTGGCCAGAGGTTCTTTTCTATTTTGTCTTCTGGTAAAAAAATACTATTTAATTAGTTCTAATTAAACAAGTTAAGAATAAATTCAGGCATTATTATATGTTTTATTGTGCTGTACTTAATATACATATAGATTATTTACTTTGCTTTTCCTTTGTTCAGCATTCAGAAGGAAAACAATACCTAGATCCTCAGAAAGGGTAAATCTGTAGAAGTCTGCTGTGCTGATTACACACACTCTCATTTTCTGTCTCTGGGAGAAATTGCTCAGCAGATGTCTGCTTTGTCTGTGTTCTGTTGGGTTGCTGGTGTCAAGATGTTCTTGTGATAATAGGTAGTAGAGATGCTTTCAGCCTTAGACTTGAACATTAATTTCTGTGTACTTTTGATAACATATCCTTGTTGTTGTAAATAAGAGATTTTGGCTTAGAAATTAATTTGATTACAGGAACCGACACGAATTTCAATCCAGATATTTGAAAACAGAAGTGGAGAAAAGTGTTTTTCAATACAGCAAAAAGTAACATGAGCAAAATTTTCAATTGAAAGTAAATTAGAAAATGCCATAAGCATCACCTGTGAGGGAAAGTCATAGAAAAAGACTGAGGGAAATTAGAAGCATGATCAAAAAATAACAGATTAAAATTACTTTGAAAACTCCAAGATGAAAGATGTTTCTTGGAAAAAAGCCTGCAAAGCAGCAATGCTGTTTCAGAGTATTGCTCTAAGAGTTGTGATTAACAACTTAATGAGGACTAATAACATTATAAGGTCATAGACAATGTGTCTTTTCTGGATAGAATTGTTCAGAGCTACCCACAGTAGCCTGAAATGCACAGATATCTAAATGAAAACACATCAGCAGTGCTATATCCAGGGTATGTAGCCCTCAGTATGAAAAATTAACCATTTTTTTTTTAAGATAACTTTTTTTTTTTTGTTGTATTGCACCATATATTGACATAAAGATATATATGCAGTCTTAACTATCTGAGGGATCTGTAATGCATTTCTGGGTGGAATGCTGTAGACAGCTTCAAATGTCAATGCAATTTTGAACTGCATATGGATAATACTGTGGTGTGGGAACATGGCAGTCCTGATTCAAGGTGAGATGTTGAACTTCCTTTGCAAGATATTTCTACCAGGGAGAGTTGAGAGGTCTCAGCAATTCTGAGGCTAATTGGCTAAACCTGGATTTTGATTGGAGATTATGGCACGATGTGTAGCTCATTAAATTTGTTTTGAAGTCCATTTTTTTCACTGTGAGCGGGTCAACAGACATTAAAAAATGTACACTGAAAATCACTGTTTTTTTTTTTTTTTTTTTTCTTACTGTATTGTTGCTCTTCTCTGACTTCTCTCTGGTGTCAGAATCACTTCCCACATTCCTGTACTTTACAGTCTTCTAGGAGCTCCAAATAGACTTGTTAAAGTATGGCACAGGGTTTACTCTCCTTCCCTGGGTTCTGTCCTCAGCTTCTATGTAGCAGCAAGGGCTAATCATCTCGAGAGCAGAAAAATGAAAGTTGCATAAAATCCTGAGGATTAGTGAGAAGTATCTCTGGCAATGAATACTCTTTGAAACATTTTTTACTTTTTATGCAGCAATGGCTTTCTTAAGTATTAACAAGAGCAGATGAGATGAAAAAATTTTGAAAATTCTCTATATTTGTTTGTCTCTGGAGTCTCCACCTGTGCATAAATAGGCACCTTTGTATGCCTTTTCTCATCCCACATCCCATTTAGATTGCATTATACAGACAGCAACAGGAAGCATGATGAGTGCTCCCCCAGCACTCAGTGACTCCAGTGTCAGTTGTGTTACTGCTCTGAGCTCCTGCACAGCAGCTGCCAACGTGTCCAGGAGGAAATACTTCACCCAGACTGGGAGATAGTAAGTCAAGATATTACTCATTTACTGCAGTATCTACTATATTAGTTTCACCTTAATTTCTGGTTCTTGCCACTTTCAGTTAATAGGCAGCAAAAAAGCAGGAATTTATCTTGTCAGGCCAAGTTGGTTAAGATGGTCATCTGTGCTGCATATTGGCTGTGGAGTGTTGTACATGCCATGCTTCTGGTTTGGTTGTCATTTCTCCTTTTCTCTTAGGGTCTTGTTAAAAGGTTGTTGGTACGTAAGATATCCTGCATCTGTTAATGAATGGCCCTTGATGTGCAAATGTATCTGAAATCAAGACTTTTATAAATCCCTTTTTTCTAAAATGCAAGCAGAGCAAACTAGGTTCTTTGCTCTTCAGTAGCACATTAGAAATCTTGTCCTTTAACCAGGTGACCCAACTCAAGATTCAGAGCATTTCACCTCCGAATCAAATTACAAATCTACATATCATGTAACTATAAGGACAAATATTATAGATATATCCTGCCCTCCAAAAGGCAATTGAACATGTGCAAAGCTGGAAGTGGTACTTATCGTTTGAATACACAGAGAAGGATCTGTGCTTTGTAGGATAAAGAAGAGCTTACTTGGGATTGTTGACTGGGGGAGAAAGTGCCTTCAGCATAGACTGTGAAAAATCACAGCCACTTCATTGATGAAATACTGTGTTCAGAATTGATCTTTTTTATTTCTTTCTGAATGGTTATATTTTCATCATCATCATCATCATCATGACCCTTCCACAGATGACTCAACATCAAAAGCATTTATCAAGGGTGAAAAATGACTGAATGGGGCATTCAGTCTCATTGGTGAAGCAGCTACAACTGTTGCACTAAACACTCCATACTCTCTGTTTATATGGTGCTCATCACTAAAATTCCTGCAGGTATCTCCACTGAATCCCTTTACTCTAAAAATGAAAATTTCTTTGTTTTTGATCAAAATCAGCTTCTTCTTTGCTGAGAATGCTCAACCCCATGAGAATAAAAGTTTGTTAAATGTCAGTGAAGGATCTGCAGAACAGTAGCCAAAAGTAATGGATAGATGGGAGGTGGCTGTATGTATTTCTCTAGCTCTGACATTTCCTTTGCTGCTACTCCATCATCAAACTGCCCCAACCGGCTTTAACACTCACATTCCAAATGGTGTCCACATATCAAGATTGATTGAATGTAATCACTAATGCTTCCTTTATCAAAAGAAACAGGGTCCTGTCTGTTGTCTTAGATTCAGAGTTACAACCACATATGAATATGCTTAAATTCTCTTCCTCAACTCTAGAGATGTGGAGCAGATACAAAATATATATAGTTACAAAATATATGTAGTCTATTTCTGTAGTATTGCTGGCTTCTGAAGTTGCCTTAAAACTGTAAACAGCATTTCATTCTGTTTCAGTGATGGTAGAACAGTGGCCATAAAAAAAATAATGAAGAAGGCATTCACACTGTCTAAAACCATACGTAAAGAAGTAAAGCAAGTAAGGTAAGAAGTGAAATCTAAGAACTGTATGTTGTTCCATTTTTACACTGATTTTCTAGAACTTAAAATCTTTCCAAATGTGACTGTAAATTCATATTCCTCTTTCTTTCAAACTTTGCTTGGAAGAGAACAAAGATTAAAATTTCCATATGGCTGTTTTACTTTTCCTCTACATTGTGAGACAAGGCACTTGGTTTTCCAGTTGCATTACAAAACTAGGATCGATATCTGTGAAAATTACTGTTGTGCTGTGATTTTTGTTGATTTTCACAGGGAACTTGACCATCCCAATCTCTGCAAATTCATTGGAGGATGTATAGAAGTTCCAAATGTTGCCATTGTCACAGAGTACTGCCCCAAAGGCAGCCTGAATGATGTGCTCCTCAATGAAGATATTCCTTTGAACTGGGGTTTCAGGTGAAAAAAATCTAACTTTTGAAAAGCAAAATGACATAGACTGTGCTATGTGCTGTTTGATACAGGATGTTAATTTTAGATAAAGTTCTTGTCTAGACAAGACTGTACTTTGACATAGGGAGAGGGAGGGAGGGAGGGAGGGAAAGGAAGGAAAATTGAATATCCAGTTCAACTTGTCTTTTGGGTGTTTTATGTTCAGTCCTTGCAATGCTAAGCCAATGACTTGTCAACTTTCTCTAGCTATAGTGCAAAACTGTTTTAAAACCCTTTATTCCTATATAACTTTACTTTGTCCCCAAATATCTTAGGTATCCCTATTTAACTAAAACCCACTACCTCTCTGTTTGTGAAGACATATTGGTGAAATTATTAGCATACCTGCAAGTGGTTTATTATTCTTACCAATACAGGAAATGAACTCACATTGTCAAGGAAACTTTCACAAAGGCAGTGACATTGTTTTTTGAGATCAATATTCTTGACATGTCCATTCTGCTTCTGCTGTATGCTTGCCTTCAGCAAAGAAAAATGGTTTTCAGGAAGGAAACCTTCCAAATAAAGCAAGGAAGATATAAAATTGTTTCACTGGTAAACATGTGTAAGCACTCCCAAGGATAAAAAAGTACTAACAATTTCTAGAGGAAACTTTACTGTCTTGGCCTGTGAGCTCAGGGAGATAACGGGTTTTCAAACAGTCACCAGAAGTGTTTTGGAAAAATGACCATCGGGACACAAGTGGAAAGCTGCAGTTTCTGTAAACTTCAATAGGCTTTGGAGCCAATTTTGAGTGAAACTGGAAATACTAGCTCACTGAATTTTGACTTTCAGGTTTTCTTTTGCTACTGATATTGCTCAAGGAATGGCCTATCTCCACCACCACAAAATGTATCATGGACAGTTGAAGTCTAATAACTGTGTGATCGATGACCGGTGGGTTTGTAAAATTGCAGGTAAAGAGAAGGCTAGAAAAAATTTTCAAAACTGTCCAGCTAGCCCACTAATTATAGATTTCACTTGCAACGCTCTTCCTTTCATGTTGACATTTCATGTGGAATTGCTGACTGTACCAGACTTCACTAGCAGCGCCTTGTGCTGAAGCAAGTCTCATGTTGCATTATGAAGTCAACTCATTTAGTATGTGTCACGGATGCACACTTCAGATCCACAAATGATTCAGCCTGTCAACATCTGAGCATAAACTCTGCTTCACTCTCTCTTTTCATAGAGAGAGAACCCTGAGGCATGGACAATGGTGTAAAGAGATGTAGAAATGCTGACTGATTGGTAAGCGCAAGGTAGTTAATGGAGAAAAGCAGACTCAACTCAGAGCTTTTAACTCTTGTTCACAGCATTGAATTTTGTTCTTCCAGAGATGGACCTGCAGGTCAGGTCTACTCTTGGTACAGGAAGAGAGCCTGTGGGAGCAGGAAAACCACTGGAGACTCTAGTTTAGTTTGCAGCTGCCAAAGAGAATTAAGGCAATGATCATCTCTTCTACTTTTTGCCCAGAGCAGTCATCATAGTCTCTAATCCATAGCCATCCTGAAAACAGCAGCAGCAGATTTGTTTTTCAGTGGTATATCCTATGACTAAGGCTCCTACACAGGGCCAGGCTTACTTCTCCAACACCTTCAGTATCCTTCTGTCTTCAGAACTGCCTACTCTGCTTGGAGCCTGTTCTGGATGAAAACATAAAAATGAGACATAGTTGGATTACATCCACTGCGTCACCTTAGCACAGCTTCTCTCAATTGAATAGGATATCTATGAAATCATTCAACAACTTTTTGTTTTGATTCTGTTCTGTGTCAAACTGTTTTCAAATCTTAATGATTTATCTGGATGCAATAATGTCAAACAAACCTCATAAATAACAAATGTGGGAGCTATTTTAAAAATGACCTCCACATAAAGATTCAGTCCCTAGGAACATGTTAATTAGAGATCACTCCAGATAAAACCAGATGTCTGCATCCAGCCTTCACATACAGCCAGAAGGGTGCTGTTTACGTAAGAAAGAAAACAGAAATCAGTTTTTTTTATTCTTATTCTTCCTGATTCTGAGTCATATGCTAAGAATTCCTTCTATATTAGGCTAGAAGTATAGATGGAAAGATGTTTCACTCTATGCTGCCTTTGTTCTGATGCTAGTGGTGTTCAAGTGACGCCCACCATCTGATTGTCAGTAGTCTGTCTAACTAGTAATTACTTGAGCAACCTGCCACCAGAGATAAGGATCAAGGGACAAAGTAGAACAGAAACCTGTAGTTACGTGCTAACTCTTGCACAGAGGTGAGACTATTGGCTGAAAATAATTTGATAAAATCATAAGATAATTCTGATTGCAGTTCAGTTTTCCTGCTCTCATTCAGTCTTGCCCAAATATTTGGTTTTCCAGATGCTATATTTGCAATTCTAGGGGGGCAAGACCACACAAACACCATTATTTCTAGATTAAGATATGTATTTAGAATAGGGAAAAATAATTTATTTAGACTAGTGTTACTGTCTAGTACTGCACTTGTTTCAGGGAATATCCACTCAATAGTTTGCTTCCTGTTTTCTTCCACTTTAGATTATGGCTTGCAGTCATACAGAAAAGAAGATTTTCCTGATGGATCAAATTCATCCCAGCAGCATTTGATACAGATTTACACAGCTCCAGAAATACGTGCTCCTTCAGATTTTGAACCCAATTCTATGTCTGATGTCTACAGGTAGCTAAGTTTTCCTGATCTCACTTCTAGTAATTGTGAGTATTCTTTAGCAACAGTTAGGCTTGGTGCAATTCTGTTGTCACTCCAGGTATATGTTTGATTGTATTTTTAAAAGGATTGGTTCTGGGATACAGAACAGCATAGATATCACAGGATCTTCTCTTTTAAGGTAGATAATCAAATACTGAGTTTGCTGACATTATTTAAAAGCAGAGCTAGTCCAATTATTTATAAGGAGTCACTTGACTGGTAAGATAAAAAGGCATAAAGATCTGCTATTATCTAATTATTCTTTTTTTTCTGTTGCTGTTTCTTATGAAAAGTAGAATTATTTTCAACAATGGCAATACTTTAGAAGTTAATAGCATCAGTGTTCTAGAATGTCATAATGCACATATGTATCCTGTAATTCTATTATTGAATGTCAATACAATTACTTGGGAGCATATACATGGTGACAATATTTGGTTTACAGTGGAAAAATAAAGAGAAGGGGAAAAAGTGGGTGCACTAGCAAATAGCTCCATTCCTTTCCTTTTGAAAGTCTTTATAGGAGATTGCTTTCCAGTGGCTTTCTCTCCCAGTGGTTGTCTGCTTCTATCCAATAGCTTTTCAGATAAGTGGGAACACAATTGTAAACAAATGTCTGCATATGCAATATGCTTGAACATCATTACTTTTTATCTATTCTATCAGATTAACTGAGCAAGAACTTGAAGCCTCAGTAGTGTTTCTGCTTATAGGCTTCAACGTGTCCTTAGAATTTTCTCCGAAATAGCTCAGCTAAGAAGGCAGCTTGGGATTGTGTTGGCATTTCTTGCTACTGTCCTTTTTCCTATATTGATCTGTACTTTTTCAGCATGAAGTAGTCTTTGAAAGAACTGTGCTCCAACTAAACAATAATTTTAGGATTGTCTTAGGCATTCCAGTTTACCACTGCCCTGCAGCTAAAATGTATCCCAGAAAATGTTTCCTTGGTTTGTTGTTCCCACTTTGATCCTGTTTTGGATAGATATCATTATTTGACTTTGCCTCCTGAAGGCATTTCTTGCCAAGGGTTCCCTTTTAAATAGTCCAGAGATCTGATTTGCTCCTATCCTATACGTCTACAATGAAGTTTCAACAGATTCAGTGAATGTTTCCTGGATTTATCTTGCTGTCCAACCCACATGTATGGAAAATCTACATCTTCTTTTGTGGCACTGCAGTTATTAATTTCTTGATATAAAAAAAAAAAAAAATGAAAAAAGTAAAAGCAGTGAGAGATCACACCAAAAAAAGGGAGAAGAGCAACATGCAGACAGGGAAGATAGAGAAGTATCCTGTACCATTGAAAGGGTTGTCTTCTTATCGGGGCTGTTCTTTAGAATTTACATTTTAATAAAATTTATTTTTGAATATTTGAACAGAAGGTAAACCTTCCTGATACATGTATTTGGCCTCACTGGCCAGGTAGCATTGATCCAATCTTGAAATCCTCAGTTTTTATCTGTGCAAATGTTCCATTAATATTCCTGGAAGTGAGGCCCAAACAAAAAATTAGTAGAAACTGCAGGAAAGGGACTTGTAATTTAGTGTGCTCTTGCAGATGAATCACCTGCTTTTAAAGTTCTCCAGGAAAGTGTTATTCAGATGGGAAAGCTAAAATGGATATGAGAACAAAAGCATGAACGTAGCTCCTGTTTTGAGCTGAAGAGGATATTTCCAATCACAGTTTGCCCTAGATTGGTTCTTCTTGATTTGTAATTGTCATATGAATTTCACTATCCACAACGGATAGTGAATTTTATTGGGCAGTGCATCTGAAGAGGAATTAAATCAGTGCTGCTTTATCAGACTTACTCTCATCTAATTATTATCCTTGACAATCTGTTTTAGCTTTGCAGCCTTACCAGGATTGATTTTGCTTTCTCCTACCAAATCACCACAAAATTAATATAAAAATATCATCAGATTAATTTCTAAATTATTCATCATGTTTTATATGCATTATTTTATTTTCCAGTGGTGGCCCACAGGTGGGCTAAAAGACAGATAAACATCCTCTTACCAGCAGAATGTCTTACAGAACAGTGCAACCATTAGTGACACAAATTGAAAACCAATATTCTCTAAAAAAGTAAATGTTACCAAGCTGAGGGGCATGCAGGGGTAAATTATTACACAGTTTTACTATATAAAGAGACATCTTTATCCAGCCTGTTGGCTGAAGGAGGTGCTTGCTTCTAAGAGATCACTGTTCTGGAAGATCTGAAATGAGTTCAGAAAAAAAGCCTAAATTCTCTACTTTTACTGTCTTTTTCCATTCTTCATCCATGATGAATGTATTAGACCTTAGTTCAACTGAGGAAGATAATGACCATAAGAACATAATTCAAAAGGAACAAGCACAAATGCTTACTATATCTCCTCTGAAAACACTATGTCGTCACAGACTTAATGAAAATTTTCTAGAACAGCAATCTTTTTGGTGGCTGAAAAAAAGCCATACCCCCCTCTGGTGATTCTGATGAACTTGCTCCTGATCCTTGATTGGAGCAAAAATCAGACCCTTATGTTTAACTGGTAGGAATCATATACATAAGCCTGGACATATCACCTCCAGATTCCATTAATACTTACAGAGAGAATTGCTTTGCTGTCCATCAAACTCAAACATCTCTGGGGTCTGTAACCGTGAGAGACAAATGCTATGAAACATTCTGTAGCAAATTCCTGAAAGCACAAAGCAGTAACAAGTAGCAGCACCATTGCCATCCTTCCTTTTTAGATACTGGGATTTCGGTCATAGAATGGGGAAAAATAATACATCATGACAAGAAGAAATCACTGACTCAATTAACTGTTATTGTATTAAGGTTTTTCTTCATTTTTATTATGCAGTTACGCTATCATTTTACTAGAAATTGCCACAAGAAGTGACCCTCTAGCAGTAAGTAAAGGTGAACTATAGGTAGAAATTGCATGACGACTTTGATTCTGTTTCTGCTGAAGACAAACCAAACTTTGAGTTACTGCACCTTTGAGTTATTTTATGTGCATGCATTTTCCTCATGATTTTATGGATGCCAGTTCAGCTCCCATGGAACATGCAATCAGTGTTTCCTTATAGATCTACCAGTTTTCCATTACAGAGCTTTGAAGAAGAATAGATGATAAAAATAATGTAGCTCCAAAACAGCCTTTTGATTAGCTTTGTGAGGCTTAATGGCTAGGTGGAGGCAGAGAGAATTTATCCATATCTTTCTTTTTCTCCTGCTTCTTCCTTTTCCTGTCTTTTACAGGCCCTTTAAGTAGAAGTGGAAAAGCAAATTACCTGCTCTCCATAAGTAAAATATCTGTTTTGCATGTGTCTTTTGATCACTGCTAAATGGCAAACACAAAAAGAATGCACCTTTGTGGGATCTCAGCACACCACTGTGGATGTGCAGAGACACCATGAAATTGGAAACAGATGGTCTGGATATGTAACCATGTTCTCTCTGAAATAATTTGCTTAACAAGAGTTGTAACAATAAAGACTTGAAACTACTATTTTTCCAGTTCTTACTGTTTGTGGTAATAGACTAATATAGTCCTTGTGGTCTCCTAAAAGTTTCCTAATATCTTGCTGGTATTCATTTATTTCAAAAGTTGTTTATGCCATATAAACACTAAGATTAAAGCCTGTCAGCCATTAAAAAGCTTTTAGAAAAGGTGACCCATTTTAGACTGGGTTATATATATTTTTTTTATCCTTTATTTTCCCTTGTGCTGTTATGTAAAAAAAGCTGACTTAGAAGTGATAGGGAAGATGTTATAAAAGTGATGATGATAATAGTACTATATTTTCAGTGTCTGGCATGAGAACCATAACACTTGTTTCAACATTGTTTAATCCCCTTTTCTCTAGAAAGATGATGTGCATTCAGCTGAATATTCTTGGTGCCCACCTTTGGCAGAATTAATTTCAGGAAAGGCTGAGAATTCTTGCCCATGTCCCACAGATTATGTAGAGGTGAGTAAAATACAATATTGTAAAGTATAAATTGTAAGTACAATATTGTGTACAAAAATCATTTATTGAAAAGAATTTACAACATGTCATAGAAGTTTTATGGCAATATTACCTTTGATAAATATAAATAGCCCAGAAATCAAGAAGTACACCTTAAACAAGACAAAATGACAATATTTAATATCCCTAATAAAAAACTTGTCATTGTGACAATGAAAGATTCAGTTGTCCCCTCCAGTTTCCAGTGTAATAGATTATGGTTTTAATATTCAATCATTGATTTTTTTGGTGCAATTTCATTTTATTATAAAGTGTTGAATTCCGTACATATTTTATGTTAGTAATATCTAGCTTACTGACAGAGGGCTTTCACATAATGAAGTCTGTCTCAGGCAAATTATGAGTTTGGTTTGCTTCTTATGCAGCAAGTCTTTCTCTTCAGTAACCTCAGTAAAGTACATCCCCTACCAGGTTAATTAAATCAGAACAAAATGGGGTCATCCTTATTTCAGTTTAAATGCAATATAATTTACCTTTGCTGGTTTGTAGCAACATAAATGTAAAAAAAATTCTCCTTAGCAGCACTGTTTTTTTAATCAAAAGTTAACATTCTTAAAGGGACTTCAGCTCTTAATCTTGTGAAATTTGTGTACAGACAAGTTCTCTGAAAACAGTAGATATATGCTGTTACATATAACATATATAACACTCTCTAACAGCACAAGACAAGAGCTTAAGCAGTGTTCAGCAGAAGGAACCTGTATATCTTACTCATAATTTCCCACAGCAGAATTTTCATGAACTAATATCCTTCATTCAGCAAAAGCCTGTAGAACTCCAGAGGCTTCAGTATAGCTGTGACACTTCACCAGCTGCAGATAGAGCTTCACATAAGCAGTTGGCACCAAGCAAACAGAAATATTAACTTAAAATACTGCTTGTGCATGGAATAATAAAAGGCGGTTTGCTTTTCTCACTCTTTCCCTTCTGCAGTTAATTGAAAGGTGTAGAAAAAATAATCCATCCCAAAGGCCTACGTTTGAACAAGTCAAGAAAATGTTGTACAAGATGAATCCTGTTAGCCCTGTTGACATGATGATGACTCTGGTGAATTTAGCTTTTTAATCCAATCCAATCTGCTCACTTTCCATAACTTTCACCTATATCCTTCAGGGTTGTTTTGTTTGTTTTTTTTTTAAATCTTATACCCCTTGTTTGGAAAAAATATCCACAGTTATTTTCCAGTACTGTTGGGGTGACTGTAGCTGCAGTTCTGCTTTGGAACCCAGCTTTTCTCATTCAGTTTTTTAAATTTCTCAACTTCTTTGGGGCTGAACATTTTTTTTGTCTGTCAAATGTTGTTTGCAAACTCTATTCCCCTTTTCATGTGGCTCTTATAATATCACAAATATAGAATCCCTGCATGCTACAAATAGCATGTTTATAAATCATTTTGAGCAGAGTATCTCAAGCCCATCAGCAGAGAAGGAAGATCCCTGCCTCCAGACTATTGCCTCACACAGAGGAGGGGTGCAAAAAGCAAAGCACAGACTAACATCGCAAGATAGTTTATGAAAGCCTTGTGAGTTTTTGATAAAAGTTTGAGACTTAGATACTTTTTGTTTTGTTAAGATTTTGTTTGTAGGTTACTCTCTGCATTGGATTTGGCCCCTCAAGTTTGCATGAAATTTGAACAGTCTGAAATTGCCTTCTGCTGTCTTGTATGTAAGCAACAACCTCAAGTCTAAATTCATAAATTTACTTGAGGAGAAACCTGTTCTTTGGGTTTTTTAAAAAAGTGTTAGGTGTCTTAGGCCTGTGTCCTTTTTTATCTCTGAATGTTTTCAAAGCAGAATCATTAAAATACTTAAATCCTATCCAGCTAGGCATCTGTTTCAGTAAAAAGATGGATTTCTGAAAAATTTTACAATATTCTCTATTATTTAGATGGAGAAATATAACAAACATCTGGAGATACTGGTTGCTGAGAGAACCCAGGATTTAATGCATGAAAAACAGAAGACTGATCGTCTGTTGTATAGTAAGTTATAAAGAAAAAAATACTGGATATTCTTCTCAGTACTAATTTTATTTCAGCTTTCTAACTACAAACAAGAATCCTTTGATAGGTGATTATTTAATAGGTAATACTTAGCTAGCAAAGAATGAATATACTTGTTTCTTGCAAAGCTGGAAAGATATTTAGCTACTTTCTGTATTTTCCCCCAAGAGATCAGTACACTCATCTGAGATTTATGGCCCAAAATCCATAGTGTTCTGACTTTGCATCTGTGTGGCAGGCCTTTTACATACTTATAAATGTTGTGGAATGGTAGTTGGTTGCTTTTGATGGCAGTGTATATTCCAGAATTCTGTAAGAAAAAAAAGGGGTAAAAAAAGAGATGGGAATAGCATATAGGAAAGGATAAAACAAAGGGATGTGAAAGTCCAAGATAGGGGGAAGAAATACAATTAAAAAAAAAACAGAACAGGGAAGAGATAGTAATGAAACCTAACACAGGCAGAAAGCACTAGCAAAGAGTTCACAAAGAGAGAATTAGTAAAATCCTAGATCGCACCATAGAATCTTACCTTACTTTTTCTTGAAATGTATATATACTGGTTTGTTTGGCCTAAAAGTTATGGGCCATGTGAAGAATCTGGATGTGTTATCATTGATATTTATTGTGAATTCTCACATTACAGCAGAGCAGATTTTGATGCCAAAGTGTGTTTTCACCTTCATAATATTTTGCATTTATGAACATTTTTTGTGCATTGAAACCAGCATGTTATATTTAATATGTTCTTTTTTCCATGTAAAAATATTACAATGTTCTACTTTCTACAACAGGTATGTTGCCAAAACAAGTAGCAGATGATCTCAGGCAGGGAAAACAGACACAAGCTCAAAGTTACTCAAGTGCCACCATCTTCTTCAGGTAAATAAAAAATGAAAGCTAGGACTAGAATGGTCTCCTACAGAAGATACTCCTAGGCTTCCAGTAGAGGTGAAGCTCCTAACTGAGCACAGAATTTCTATCTAAACTGCCACCTATTGTAATAGGTGGTTCTACAAAATAGCATCTTTCAAAATTCTCACACCTTCCTATTTTTAATTAGAATTGCTTAAATAAAAAATGACATTACTCTGGAGCTCTAACAAAGAGCAGCACATCACTTTACACGTGTTACACATGTTTCATAAAATAGGTCTAAGTATGTTTCATAAAATAGGTCTAAGCAGAGATTCCACCATTTAGCCTGTGTAAAGAAAATTTATTATCTTTAGAGTCCACATGGATTTACAGTTTTAATTTTTTATGCATGCAGGAAGCAATATACAAATGGCCTGCCTTCACTCATCACACTCATCATAAAAGAACAGATATCGAGTTACCTTTTTTTGTTTTTTTAATTTATACATAACCCAAACCAGAAGACTGCTTAGTCTATTACAAATTAAAGTCTACCTGTAAAAATGTTTTACTGCATTGCTAAGCAAAAATACTTAGGTCAGCCTGTCCTTTTAAAAGGAAGGAGTCTTTTGTAAATTTAAATAAATGAAGACAAAACTATCCAATAAAAATCTTCATTAAAGAATTATTGAAAAGAGAAGGTTGGTGTAATTGCATTGAGAAATTTTTGCTCTGTGTTTAAGATTACTAACTAGGAACGATTAGGACAGTGGATGATTATGCTCTTTCTGTTGTGTTTTAACAGTGACATTGTTGGCTTCACTGAGCTGTCCAGCAGCAGCACACCATACCAAGTGGTAGATCTCTTGAACAAGCTTTATACCACTTTTGATGAAATCATAGATAACTATGATGTCTATAAGGTGGAGACAATAGGAGATGCCTGTAAGTTCCTTGAGCTGTGGATGATGATGGGGCCTGGGGCCTGGTGCATCAGGATAGAGACTCGCCAATGACAAGGAAGAACAGCTGAAGGAGATTTGGAAACCTTCTTACGACTGGGAAGACCAAATAAAACAATTAGGAGATGAGTTCTAGCAGAGCCCTAGCAAACTTTAGGGACATTTTCCTGCATACATTTAATTTGTGTAGTTAAAAAGTGTTGCGAATGGGACAAATTAATGGAGTAAAATACCGCTGCTGTTTATTTGGTTCCTATTACTAGTGAGGTCAGACTTTAAGTCTTTAACTTGATTAATCCCAGTTGGCAACCTCTGTATCATGGGAACACAACTAAAAAATTTTTCTTCTACATGGGATCATACATGCCATACCCTAAGCTTTATTATCTGTCTTTTTTGCAAAGACTGTAACAATCTTCTTTCTCCTAATACATTGTAAGGGCTTGACTGCCTCTTCTCTTTTGCATCTTTTCTTTTGTAGGAAAATGGCTTTATAGTAGCTACCATGGCAATCTGCTGGGGATAGACTATGATTAAAATTGAGTTCTGTAAAACCTAAGGAAATCTAACAGGGTTTTTGGGTGAGACAGACAGAATTCCTATAAGAGATGGGGAACAAAAAAGCCCACTCTTTTTTCTCCAAGGAACACATTCTTGAGCATAAAATTCCTGAGCAAATGCACTCCACAGATCCCTAAAAGACCTGTTTCTTGCCCTACACAGTAACAGAATCAAAGAATCATAAAATATCCTGGTTGGAAGGGATCCACAAAGATCATAGAGTCCAACTCCTGGCCCTGCACAGGGCCATCCTCAAGAGTCATACCATGTGCCTGAGAACCATTGTCCAAATGGTTCTTGAGCTGTGTCAGGTTTGGTGCTGTGACCAGTTTGCTGGGAAGCCTCTTTCAGTGCCCAACCACCCTCTGGGTGAACAGCATTTTCCTAATATCCCAACTAAACACAATCCTGACACCACTTGAGGGCATTCCCTCAGGTCCTGTCACTGTCACCACTGAGAAGAGATCAGTGCCTGCCCCTCCTCTTCCCCTCACAAGGGAATTGTAACTGCAGTGAGGTCTCCCCTCAGTCTCCTCTTCTGAAGTCACTTGCAGACCAAGGGATCTCAGCCACTCCTCACATGGCTTCACCTCAAGGCCCTTCACCATCCTTGTTACCCTCCTTTGGACACTCTCTAGCAGCTCAATGTCTTTTTTGTGTTGTGTTACCAGAACTGCCCCAGCACTGGAGGTGAGGCTGCCCCAGTGCAGAGCAGAGCAGAGCAGAGCAGGACAATCCCCTCCCTTGCCCGGCTCTGATGCTGTGCCTGATGCCCCCAGGACACTGCTGGCTTATGTTCAACTTAAGCAGGACCCCCAGCTCCCTTTCCTGCACTCATTTCTCCTTTCCAGCCTCTCCTTTCCCAGTCTGTCTGCACATCCAGAGTTGCCCCATCCCAGAAGCAGAATCTAATTCTTTTCCTTCTTAAACATGAAGTTGGTGATAGCCCAGTCCTCTGATTTCTCAAGGTCTCAGCAGGGCCTTTCTGCTTGTGAGGCAATTTAGTAGCATCAGCAGACTTATCAACCCTTCCAGTTCTGTGTCCAAGCCATTTATGAAGATCAAGAGCACAGGGCTCCGGAACCCCCAGTGACAGGTCACCAGTATGATGTCACCCCACTCACTGCAACCCTTTGTGCCTGACCCCTGACCCAGCTACTCACCCATAATTTGTTTGTCCAGCTGCGTGCCAGACAGTTTGTCCAGAAGGATCCTGGTAGAAGCCATATAAAAAGCTTTACTGAAATCCAAAAAGATAGCATCAACTCCCTTCCCTTGATCACCTGGGTGGGTTATCCTGTCATAAAAGAAAATCAGATGTGAAAATCAGGGCTTTCTGCTCATGAAGCCATGCTGGCTGTGACCAATGATTATGTTGTCCTTCGGGTATTTTTCATTACCTCCCAGAAAAATTTTCTCCAAAATTCTGCTGGGCACTGAAATGAAAGGGACAGGCCAGTAGTTTGCAGGGTTGTCCCTCTAGCCATTCTTGAAATTCTTGAAAGAATTGGCAGAAGAAATTCTTCTGCCATTCTTGAAAGCTTTGCCAGCTTCCTGTAGACTGGGACTTTTCCAGATCTCCATGACCATTCAAAAAGCACTTTCAGAAATCTTGCAATGATTTCACCAGTTCTTTGAGTACCATGGGATGAATCTCATCATGTGCCATAGATTTACAGAGCTCAAACTAGAGCAGCAAATCCCACATAAGTTCAGGGTTTAGTGGGAGTTTATCATTCTCACAGTCATGCTTGTACAGCTCAGCACTCTAGCACGCCAAGATCCCATAATCAGTTTTTAAAGCATAGTGCAGGAAGCATAGAAGAATGCCTAGTTGGAGTCATTGCCTTTTTTTGTAATATCTGCCCAATGTCAGAAGGCACTGAACAGCCACATTTGCACTGCCTGTCCCACTTTAACCATTCTCAGTGGAGGAGAGGATGAAGTAAGAAACGATTGGAGGGAATAAATTAAGAAGGAAATACATTTTTCCTACCTAAGGTAATTCCACACATGAGCCATTATCCTAGCATTCGTTTCTGGTTTTCTTTGCTCATCAGGCACAACTGTGCCTTGGGATATAAAGGAATAGAGCTTCTTCCTTTTTATTATTTTTTTTTTATTGTAGGCAGCATACTTTAGTAAATCTATGTGTAATGCCAAAGATTAACACAGTTGCATTGTTGTGTTAAGATATGGTGGTGTCAGGAGTACCCAAGGAGAATGGGATTCTTCATGCTGGTGAGATTGCAAGCATGGCTTTAGACCTTCTGGATGTCTGCAGGACTTTAAAGATCCCACACAAGCCTAACACCCTTCTAAAGATAAGAGCAGGAATACATTCAGGTATGTTGAGAAAGCTGCAAAAGAGTCTTCCTCTGGCCTTACAAATGCGTCTGTAGTGGCCATTTCCTCTCCATTAAAAATAAAATTAATTTTTTGCTACCCAGTGGAACACAACATAGAGGTCATCCCAAAAGAATAATTTATTGGATACATGGGATATTGGTACCTCAGTTTTGAATACCACATTGGAAATATCCCATAGCCCCCATGTCTTTGTTGATGTGAGTTAGAACTGCCATTCTGTATGTCTGTTACTTGTCCTTATCAGCTGTTCTCTTCTCAAAACAGTGAGTTGTTTATTGACAATCTTATCTACCCTTCACTCTCAGACTCCTAGCTCCCTGATTTAATCTGATGTATGATTGCAATTCCTTCTTGATAGACTGCCAGAGCTGGACATGTCCTGTGCAGCCCAGCATCTGCCAAGTAGTCAGTGTACATTGTCTTACCAAGAAATTTTATCTTCTATGTTTAAATCACTTGTAAGACAGATTTGTAACACATGTAAAAACAATACTGACACTCAGTCTTTATCTGGTTAACAGATTTAAGATAGTGTAGGAAGCAATCACAAGGCTGTATGACTGATTATGTGTTTTATAAACACAAAGTATCTTGCTTTCCATTTCTTAACAGGGGCAGTTGTAGCTGGAGTTGTTGGAACCAAAATGCCACAGTACTGTTTATTTGGAGATACTGTGAACACAGCTTCCAGGATGGAATCTACCAGTGAAGGTAATAAGGAACAAACTGCAGATGGCATTTTAATCATCCATGTATTAGTTCTTAAAAAAATGTTAGGCTCAGTTTTGAGTCCTGACCTATTCAAATGATTCTGAATCCTGGAAAGAGGTTCTTGGTTTCTGAGTCCAGTCTGCCTGGGGACAAATTATTTGAGTGATGCTCTCTACAACTGTTTTTGTAATCAGTTCCCCTTATTTCTCAAGTCTCAGGGAAGGATTTTTGTGGTTTTGAAGTTCTCTACATTAAAAAAGAGTTGGAATAAAACAAAATAAGAGGCAAGTGGTTATGTTCACTGTTTCTATTTGTTCCTGGCACCCAGCTGGATTTAGGGTAAGAGTATTTCATTACTCCTGTTTTGCTGCTGATAACTTTCTCTAATGGAGAACACAAGAGTAGGATATCATGGGAGCTGTGTCTGTGTTCAACCAGTATAGAAGATTATATATGTGCCCTCTAGTTTAAGCAGAAATTTTGTGGAGGTATTCTCACTGCTTTTTCCTAAGAGATAACAGAGCTCCAAGTTTACTTAGAAAACTTTGTCTTTAGCCAATATGAATATTTGAAACTCAGATTCTGAAATATTTTAGCTGATTTAGTGGTTCAATGTCACAGAACCTTGATGTCTTGTTTCTTTACATTCACGAAACCAAGCTGAATAGTTTTATGGCTCACATTGTAATGCATTGTATAGGAACTAGGCAAATACAAGGTTCTTCAAGTTTAATTTAATGGTAAAAACTGATACTTTCAGCATCTATCATGATCCACTAAAAACAAGGCAGAAAGGCAGAGGAATGGTCCTAAATGATGGATTTGAAAGCTTTGGAAGGATTTGAGAATCACTAGCATCCATTGCTTCTCATCATTTTTATTTTTCCAAAGCAAATGCTAACATGGATGGCACACATGTAACTTCATTTTCTTTCTGTCAGACTCCCAGATAACTCCTTTCATGTTCCTTGTGTCATCTTATCTGAACGCCTTTAAAACTAATACTTTCAAAATCTGCTTCCATGATTCATAGGTTATCTTTTGTTCTGTATGCCAGGCTCTTTCTCAGATGGTGCATCAGCACTATAGACATAGAAATAAAGACAGAGCATTTAACTTTCAAGCATTTATTTTCTTTCCCTCTTTTTCTGGCCACATACACCTTAAATTATGTTACCAAATTTTAAGCCTAAGATGATTGCTTTAAAATAGATTAATTACTAGCAATGCACACTAAAAATGCTATCACCTGGAATTTGAGTGCTAGTGTCCTGTTCTCAAGCAAGATGACAAGTTGAAATATAATGTATCTTCAAAGAATAGTTCTGAGATATGTATCTGAAACATAGATCTCCTGATCTACAGGCAGTGTTCTGAGACTCTAAAAAACATTTAAACAAATAAAAGTGGGCATTATAGAACTGTCATTTTCTAATATAACAAAAATCAGTTAGACAAACTTAGCCAGTCCTACTATCACCTAGGATGTTTTTTAAACAAAAAAAAAGCATAATGATTGGCTCTGTGTCACAGAATGTTACAGGTGAAAAAAACCTTTTTAATTTTTTTTTTTTTTAATTTCGGCAAAATTTTGGTTTCCAGCAAAAGTAGAAAATCTTCTATCTGTCCTTCTTGGTTCTTCCTCCATCATTTGCAAAAGGCAAGACAAGTGAGGTTTACATGGTTTGCATGAAGATAAAATTTCAACTAAGGAAAATCACAATGTTAAAAAATTGTGGAGCTATGTTCATATCATCTCTTCCAACTGTCTTAAATTACAGGTTTGGAGTCAGAGCAACGGTGGCTGTTTCTTTAGTGTTTAGACTAACTGTTCTTTAGTTAGTTTTCTTTAGTCTTTAGACTTTGCTGAAAACTAATTTCCTTTGAAAGCACTGGCTCTTTATTGACCAGGAGGTAGAACTGTGTATAGTTTTCTTTACCAGATGAAGAGGATGTTCATCGGTAGCACAGATAGTCAACTGTGAAGAGTGCAAAAATATTATTAGATGCAGAATGTGAAGAGTAGTGTTTGTTGACAGCCCCATATTTCTCCTGAGATGCTCTCACAAACAGACCAGGATACTGGAGCTTGTGCGCAAACATTTTGAATAACAAATAACAAGGAATGGAATGAAAGACTTGGAAAAAAAAACCTAAGAGAGCGTTCCTTAATGAGTCTTGAAATTTTTGACACACTTTGGGAGATGGATCTGTCTTAGATGTACAAATTGTTTGCTAATATGATATTTATCTTTCTTGCCAGCTCTTAAAATACAGTGTAGTTCAAGTGCATACCAGCTGTTGGAGCAGATTGGAGAGTATGTGTTAGTATGCCGTGGGAATTTACAAGTCAAGGTGTGTATGCAACATTTATACTCAGCTTTTCAGAGAGGAGAGTGTGAAAGTACTCTGGAGTCCTTGAATTTTAACCCATGCAGTCCCTTATATTTTCTAGTCCTCTATATCTCACAGTACTTTGGTTAGACTAATTCCCATACCTGAAGAGTGCATGTTCACATTTTAAGCCAAGATCAATTTTGTGGACTTGTTCATGGGACAAGTCAGAGACAAAGGACTTAGTCAAGGTTGGAAGTCCTTCATGGCACATTCACTGTCATGACTGCTTGAAATCAAAAAAGGTCCTTCACAGACATCACAAATCATCATGTGAGTTCCACAAGAGAATTAACATATATGTGGACCCAGTTTTGGATGGGACTTCAAAGATTTTTTTTTAATTGATACTACTGCTATTATCTTTTAAGGAAAGGTTTTATGCCTCAATTTTCTTCTATGTAAAGTGGTTGACAGGCACATATTTCTCCTTTTGGGACTTGTTTTGAGTTGTAGTAAGAAAATTCTCCTTTTGGGACTTGTTTTGAGTTGTAGTAAGAAAATTCTCCTTTTGGGACTTGTTTTGAGTTGTAGTAAGAAAATTGTTTCATAAATGACAGTTTATAACCCCATGACTAATATTCTTTCTTAGGGGAAAGGAGACATGGTCACATACTGGCTTGAAGGTAAGAAAGCTTCTGTCACCCAGAAGGCAGTCACCAGCACTTCTGTGACTCCTCAAGATGCCAACAGAGTTTCATATAGTCTGATACCAGGTGTTCTTCCTAGTGATCCTCTCTGAAGTCCTGCTTCCTAGTCACTCATTTTATCCTGTATCTCCTGTATCTCTTTTGCTGTTAGGTCTGTTAGGTCATCCTGCTGAATTAGAAAATTAAAAAAGAGATAATACACCCCTTTGGCCTTGTGAATATATTAGCTCAGGCCTTATTTACAGGTGTTTCTCACAGCAGTGGCACTGAAAATACAAAAAAAAGCAAAAACCCATCTTAAGGAATAATACATAGAAACGGCCCACCAGCTACCAGAGCAGAAAGTAGCTCCCAGTGTTACTTCTTGATGTGGTTTTGATAGCAAATGCTCAGCCAGCAGCCACCATGACCTCAAAATCAGACATTCCAGCCTGTGAGGTGCTCCCACAGGAAGGGAGGCAGTATAGTGCTGCTGTTTAGTCGTATCATAAACCCTGTGGGCATGGTTGGTTTTGTGCTGTGAAAGGGAAAAATGAAGTGTGTATTGTGTGAGGAAGTGAGATCCTTCAAAAGAGAAGGATGAAAAAAAGAGCGGAGGAATTATAGTGGATACAAATTGAAACAAGTATTTGTACTCCTACTTCCATTTAATCTCCACTGTTTGGGGCATAGAAAGAGGAATTAAGAAAAAAGTCTGGTGTGTATCCATACAGCCAATTCCTAGTCACACCTGCCATCTTGTTGCAGAAAATCTTGGAAGAGAAATGCAAGATGTTGTGTGCTGTTGCTGAACAGGGTAAAGTTTGCTACAAATGCTCTTGTCTTTGGCTGCTCTGGGATTTCTCTGAAAAATAGCTCTTAACATTAGCTGATGTTTTTGCTTTGACTAAAGTGGTGGTGACCTACTGGATAGCTGTCTGTCAGTGAAATCAGTCAGCCCTCTGAGTCACTGTGTAATTTAGGACACAGTTTAGGAAAGGTCATTCCTGAGCCAGCATTTCCTGTAAAGAGAGAAGCATCACTACAAGTGGAGTAATTTCTAGATGAGCATGATTCTGTGAGCATTGCTGGTGTTGGCTTTCTTTAAAGACTTACCTTTCAGGGCTAATCTATTTTGAAAAGTTTAGCCCGTTCCTGTTCAGCTGGTTAACAAACAATCCAACAGAGTAAGTGAAACTAAGAGACAAAGGATATCAAGGGTCAAAGCATTTCCACCGTAATGTGAACTAGACTGGATAAAGCTAATTGGGAGGAGATGAAAAGGAAGGACTTTGAGTGGCATAGCACCAATTAATCCTGCTTATTCTGCTCCCTCCAGTCTGTCCCTGATCCAAGGTACAAGTACAAAAACATGCATGTAGTTGCAATATTTCTGGTTTAAATTTATGGAGTTTAAGCAAGCAGCTAACTACTTGTTCATGTTTCTATGCTGCATAACAGAGCTACAACTTTTAATTCCAAGTACGTGCTATGTGATAGTGATAGCAGTGTCACACTACAGTCTTTCTTCAGCTTCTGTGAGAAGTAAATGCAGTGGTAATGATAGATTTTCAGGGGTGCCTAACACAGGTAGAAAGTTAAATACTTCCAAATTTTGGGCAGTTTTTTTGAACTATACAGAAAAGATGTTTATCTTTCTGAGTGAAAGTAAGTCCCAGAAGACTGTGAATCTTAGTGAGGGACACAGACACAGCTGACTTTGGCAAATGAGGTCCCAACATAAAGTCCAGCCAATTTTTTTTTTTTTTAATCAAAATTTTTAATTATTTTCACATTTTTTCAAAGGTTAAAAATTCCCTTCTCTTTTTTAAAATTTCATATTAGAAGGTATAGTACAATTACTGGTTTTGTAATCTTAGCAGAACAATCCTTTTAGTTATCAGTAGCCCAGAGATATCCTCTAATACAACCATTTCCTTTATCCAAATGCTTTCTAGAAATTGTGAAACTGTCTGCTTTATTACAGTGCTTTATGATGTATTAAATATTCTACATTATTATCTTAATGAATTTGCATTTGTTTACATTTTTATTAAAAAGGTGCATATCCTTATCAAATGTGGATGTGAAAGTGTATGCTTTGTCCACAGTATTTCAGTTTTAACTCTTCTGCTTTATTTTAATGTTTTCTATAGAATTAAAAGATTTTTAAAAAGTGTCTTATGAGTTTAAAGTCTTCTAAATAGAAACGAGTGATGAGTGACCAACGGCAAGCTTGCTGGATTGACAGCTTGAACCACTGATGAGTCTTTGGGTAGTGTTCAAGTTCTGCTGAAGACAGCAAAGACTTGCTGACTTCAGGAGTCTTAGAGCATGGTGGTTTTCTATAAAGGAGGTACAGACTGAAGAGTGCCTGGGTCACCCCACCTCAATTTTATTGCTACTTCCTGATCTGCTCCTTCAACAGAGCATCTCCAGAGTGAGGATTATTTTCTACAGACTGTTGAAGCTGTCATATCTTTCATGAAACTTCAAGCAATATTCCTTACTAATGTCAGTTTGTCTGATGACTGTGATGATATGACTGACTTTGGAAGATAGAAGTACAGTAGTGAACATTAGAGACACAAACAGAAATGTCTTCAGTCAACTGATAAGAATTTTAAGATTAATCTCAGGCATTTTGACAAATGTAGTCAATGACAACAGCCATATTTCAGATGCAGGAAAACATTTACCAGCTGTAAAACTGAAGTATGATAGCCAGCACAGTGCTCATCTCATCGGTGAGATGCTTTAAATCCACAGAGATTCACATCCCAGATTTGGAACTAGTCAGCTAATCTAGCAAGCATTCTTTTCTAAAATGGCACTATGTACTAGAAATATGTGATGTGTTCTTCCTTTTCTTGATGTTTTTATCCATGCCAGAAAATGGGAAAGCAATTGCAATAATAGACTGAAGAAGTGAAGGTGATACGTACTTTATAGATGAATTCACAGAGTGGCCATTCATTTTCTGTTGTCATGCAAGATAATATAGAGGATACTAAGACTCTATTCACAATGTGGTGATTTTATTGGAAAGATTGTGCATTCTGATTGTTGTTTATTACAGCTCCATCTACCTGGCAGTGAGAATGCAGGCAGGAACATTAAAAAAAAAATCACACAACACAAAAACTGACTTATGAAAGTCTTTTATTAGATTGATAAACCTTCACTATATAGTTTCAACTTGAATATTAATGAACAGACTGAATAATCACAATATTTAAAAAAAAACCACAAGTAAAGCCAAAAATTCATTAATGTATTTCCAAGTGTAAAACTTCCTAGATTTTATTCAAACCACGGGCATTGGAAAAGACTGTTTTTTGCCACCAGAAGTTATTCTTTATCCCCTAGATTAGGTAGCGAACATATTTACTTAGCTTGTTATTGGTGTGGGGGAGGGGGGAATCCCAATTCTAAGGTTCTTTTTTATTTTTGCAAACGGAACAGTTATCTGCTTCCTTGTACAGCTAATTAGTCAAATTAATAAATTAATTTGTTTTAATAAAAGGGAAGTGAAATCAGGTTCCTTTGCAAACAATGCAGGGGCATAAAATGAGTGTTGAGCTTCACTGTGCAGTCAAAGATGCAGTGTCTCTTTAAGATCAATGTCTGATCAGTATGAGATTTCCCCAGCTTGCAGAACATCTCTTCCACCTGCTCAGACCCCCAAAAATTACTAATAGCCCTTCCATCTGAATTGACCTCAAAAGTAGAAATCTTTGGTTTTTTTAAGAGTGTCTTTCTGGGGCTGTCCTTTCAAACCTGTAAAAAGACAAGGCTATGCAAGCTTGTTCTGCTTATACTCCAGCTGAGCACCGTCTGCTTTTCAGATAATGAGCACTTTGTCCCCTTAATTCCTCTCCCAATTCTTCCCCACTACAGTATAAAACATTGCATTGTACAATTTTATACATTCTAAATTGGAATCCAAAGATAAAATATTTTGCAATAAAATATTCTCTCCAAATAAAATATGGGAAAATTTCCTTTCCTCCTAATGTAAATTTGGTTTTAAATTTAAATGCACTTTCAGATATAGAGATATAACCTCCAGAGTTTGAAATGTGATAGAGTGGGTGTTTAACATTTCTTTGTGTGGGAACCCTAATGATTGAAACCTTCCAAAGAACACCCATGAGTCTACATGATGCTATTTAATGTCCCACAGCATAGTAACCACAGTCCTCTGGTTCACACAGGGAAACAACCCATCCCACCTTCTTATTTGTACACCATCTTTCCACTGCACTATGTCTTAAACACATATGCAATTTTTGGAACTAAATTGCAAGGATTGGATTCAACAATTTTCATAGAGCACTAGGTTTGACCTGGAAGCTCCACATGAAATGTTTAGTGTTAGACTTTGGCGAAATTTGCCTTGGATTTCAACAGCAAAAAAATAAATACTTCTTACCAAGAGTGCCAAATATGAAGCTAATATAGGAGCATTCTTATGTTCATGACTGTGCACAATTGCTGATTATTACTGAATTTCATACTAAAATAGAGTAGTGTGAAAATAAGTGTTTTGATGAGATCTAAAATCTGATCCCCACTACATGGTAATTTTTTTCCTGTAGTTCTTGTATCATGCCTTCAGGCAGGAAAACATTCTCTGGCCCTTCTGGAGGAGCCATATGGATAAGCTACCAATGATACAATACACACTGGAACAATGCACTAAACATACTGGTTTTGTGACCAGAATTCAACACAGTTAACGTGACAAAGTAATGAAAGTGTGTGATGCCTTTTTGGTCTCTTTTGCTTTTATGAAGACCTCTTCTGTTCTACTCTCACTAGAACATGAACAGAGCCAGATTTTCAAAGTGTTTAACCCTTTTTTCCACTCCCTGAGGAGTGAAAAGGACACTTTAGGTTGAAAAAAAAATTGCTAGAAATTTCTTTCAGAACTGACTAAAGGTTCAGGGTGTTTACCAATGGTTTGGGGAAATGCTGAATGCAAATCACTGGAAAAATTCAGACTTCAATTTCCAGGTATTCACAGGGGCCATACTGAAACACAGACACGGAATATCTGTTGGAAGAACTCTGTTGGAAGAACTGTGTGTTCTTAGAAAGCCACAACAGAGTTGTTCTTAGAAGTTTTTTCTCCTAAAGAACTGAAGGAATTTTAAATGGCAGCAATAGACTGGAGCAGAAAATCTGGGTAAAGTGTTGGAAAAACACCTCGGAGAAGATCTCAAATTACTATGGTGCTATGACTGTGCATTCTGTTTCCTGCCCTTGCAGGCAAATGTTTAGCATATATACACACACCCATCCAGGGTGCAGCTTGTATGTAAAACCATTAAGCATAAACACTTCCATGTATCTGACACAAGGTTAATCCATGCAACTGCTCTGAACACAAAACACACAAATATTTAAAAACTAATGAAAGCTGATTCTTCATGTCTGCTAAAGACAATAGAGCGTCTGGAATTCTAGCACCGATAGGATTGCTAAGTTAAAGGTAATGCTTACCTATGAAAGTTTGCCAGGGTGCATGAAAAGTGACTTCTCAATCCACTCTCTCTGTGGTTTACAGACAGAAAAGAGCCCATGCCACCAGAGAAGTAACAAACACACTGACAGTTCTCCCTGTAAGGATTGTATGTTCAGACTGGCTGCAGAGTGGAAACGGGCGCAGCATGAGCTGCTTTGCAGCTGATGCCCCATGCCATGTGTCAATACTACCTCTAGCCTATATATTAAGACACTCTTCTACAAGTTTTAATACAATTTATATTAGAAGCATCTACAGAAACCTTTCAGGACTCAAAAGTTTCCTATGCCATGACTTTACTGGCAACATGCTGAGAGTCAAGGTCTTATTTGCTGATTGTGCTCTGCAAGTAAATAGGCTAGTCCCCACTCATACATGAAAATCAGGTTGTCAGTGCTTTGTGGCCTGACAGTAACCCACCTCTGACCCATGGCAAAATCCAAAGCTTTTGCTGCAAGAGCTGACAATATAACTGAATGTCTCAACATAACAGCTTAGATTGGATGGATGATGTAGTGTCAAATTCTACACCCTGGCTGAACACAGGAGCTCACGCCGTGAAGTCTGGTATGTAGCAGCAGATATGGTGAGAGCGGTTCACAGTAGCTGTTACTCCACTAAATTACAACATAATAAATAGTTACAGGACTGCAGAGAGTTTGGATCAGAGCGGGAGGAACTGCCTCTGCAAGAGTATGACATTGCTACAGAATGCAGATCAAGAATACAACACAGTGAAGAGCGACACACTCTGAGCACACTCACCTCTTACTTATTCAGCTCCTGGCCAAAAGGACCCGCTCTTGTTTTGCGCTCAGGAGGACAAAGTGCATACTGATTGAAATTTCAAATTGTCTTGTAAAGACTCTGCAGCGATCAGCTTGTATGACTGTAACAATGCTACTTACAACAGAAGTTTAAACAAAGCAAGACAAAATTGCCTTTTGTTGATCTGCATATCATATTGTCTCTTAAAAGAAGATAAACTACACTGTAGCACTATGATAAATGCTATTCCAAAAATAAAGTTTATATATCTTAGGAAACTTCTCTAAATGTCCAAATTACTGTTCTCCATTAAATGCTTTATACACCCTGCCACTTTAGGACTAAGCAATATGTGGTTCACAAGACATTTATCCCCCAAGATATTTATCCCCCAAACTGAGCTCCCCTACAAGTTCATGCATTGTTTGGAAGAGAGCATTGAGGCAAGAAGTGGGACTCTGACCCAAAGGTTTTTTAATGTAGCAAGAACAGAAAGAAGCTCTCATCTCTGGTCACAGCTTGGAATCACACCCCAAGCTGTGGTATCCTGAAGCCAAATTCAGATTAGAAGCTGCCTCTGAAAAGTAAAGTGATTATTCCTGCTTTTTCTAAGATCACAAGTTCTAGTGTCCATATGAGCTGAATGAAAATCAAGTCCCAGGTGCTCTCTTATCTGCATAAGAAATTTGAAAATGCTGTCATAATGTCAGTGTTCAAATATGCATTAGATTTCTACTGGCAAAACTATAAATGGTCACTTTATTATAAAAATACCTCAAACCAACAGAACCATGAAACCACCCAAAACAACAAAACCAAACAAAACCCAAACCTTAATACCTAACCCCCCCAACAAACAAAAAGTCTAAATCCCTATCATTTTCAAATTTTAAATTCATATTTTTGACGGCCAAATTCATCAATTTCCATTTCATCCTCTATTAAACTAGCAGGGAACAAAAAGGAAAAAAATAAAAAAGATTTCAGAGGCAGTACTAATTTATTTCTCTAATTTCAAATTCTTACACTTTCAATAAACAAATCTAGAGGATTATGGTATATTAGCCTAAAAATATTACTTAAAGTTGTATTTTGAATGAATGGAGGTAAATATCAGATTTTAAACATGTTTTTTATACTTCTTTCTATATTGTGAGAAGTTTTCACTCCCATTAAACTTTGCTTGAATACAAGCATTCTCTCATTTTTACACTAAAAATGGAATAAAGCACATGACTCAGATCTGCATGTCCGTATATCAAGCTATATATTTACTATTCCATTTGTCACTAGAGTTTGCTGTCTTGTCTTGAAAAAGCCCACATAACTTTTGACAGAGAACATCTAATCTAGACAAAATGGAGAAACTTGACTTCTTCCTATATATATATTTGCAGAACTGTACAAATCTAGGTTCCCAGCGGGCTGGTGCCTTGCTCTCTTCTGCAAGGCAAGCGATTACTCAGAACCCTGTCAAAGGCAGCTGGCAGGACCGAATAGCCTGTTTTCTCATGGTGGGTCTGGTCCCCAGGGATGCTGAGCACTCCTGGGCACACAATGAGAACCCCCACCTGCTCTGCTCAGAAGCAGAAAACAAAAGACCCTGTTTGTCATCACGTTCATCAGCAGAATTTTAGCTGTTGGCTTCACAGGTCATGAAATAAGACTTCCTGGTGCCAGCAGAGACTTGCTCTGCACATTGCAGAATCAGGTCCTGCAGTGACTAAGCCTAAGCAGGAGGCAAGCTGCTGACATCAACTGAGTGCTTTTATGTGGAAGTCGAACGTGACAGGGAGAGGGTCTGTTTTTGCGGAATTCCTTTTCTCATTGGATAAAACCTGGGCTGCACAGACTGCAGGTGTTCATTTATTACCACAGTACTGTTGCTGCATTCCTGAGCAGCACAGCTGCCTGTAACCACCTATTCAGAGTTTTTGCCTGACTTCAACTAGCAAGTGTTTTTTGAATTTATCCTAGTAGTATCCAGATGTCCCACGAAAGCCTGGCCAAAGGGTCCACATCTTATTTGGTCTGAAAGACACCAAGCTAGCCAGAAAATTGTTGCCTTCTTCTGGAAATATGTTCAGACCAGTTGTCTGTTACGATTTGACACAAGTTTCTCAACAAACAAATACACACATAAGTATATGTATAAAATTTACATTCACTTTCCAAACAATTCCATGGGCATGGAAAGCCTCATTTGAGTGCAAAATTCCTTTTAATTTTCTACACAACATCTCAGGTTGCTACAAATGCAAGGCTGTTCTTATTTCCTACTCTGGTAATTCAATACATTTCTCTGGTACAACCTATGGCTGACAAAAACCATCTAAGTAGGAGCAGCTATTAAGACTTTCATCACACAGGAACTATTTGGCACTCTGGGAGTTTGGTTATAGGAACTGGGGCTTTGTGAGATGTTAGCAAATTACTCTATGGTTCAGCAACCATTACCCTAAGACCTGAACACCTAGAGTAGCTGCTTAGTATGCACACTGTGTTACCCCACATCTCTGTTTCCTACACTGCAGAGGTCAGGTAAGATGTTTATGCACAGCACGGAACATGCAACTTAGTGTTGCACAGAACAGCCAGGGTTTGTATTTCAGTATGTAAACTGCAGGCTCTGAATTTGAATGGTTAATCTTCATTACCCACTTCACATTTTCTTGCTATGGATCCATAAGCTGTGAAAAAACCACCTGTCAGTCAGGTCCTCTGTTCCCTTCTCCCAGCAAAGCATGGCTTTGAGACCCCTGAGTGGACTGTCACCATGCATTCCCCATACAGAAATATCTGGCATTTTAGAAAAGGCACAAGAAAATGGCATTTTCAGAAGAGTCAGATCCCATTCAGAACATAACTCACAGAAGTCTATTCCTGAAGATTTTTGAGGTACTGAAATATATTTTAAAGACCTGAGTTCACTGACATCTGCTCCTAGTCTCTGCAAGACCTATGTCATGTTCATGTTGCATTCTCCTTATCAAATATGCCTCTAAAATCCAAAAGTATTAGAAACATTCCAGTGAACTCTAGACCAGTGGAAAATTAAACACATCTATGTTCATGCTATTGATGATGGGTTAGTCTTTGAAAACTCTCCTGAGCCTATATGGTTCCTAGGAGTCTTTCAGAAGAGCCCATGGGGTCAGGACATCTATTCCTTGACACAAAGGAAAATAAAATCCAGCAAGGACAAAGGGAGGCAAATGATTTCTACACTCCCTGACATCAGGCAGCTATTGGAGTTCATGATGACATCTCTCAGTCCCTCCCAAAATGAAGTGACAGTATTTCAAAAACTTATTCAGCCATGGAGCACCACATTTCCTACAGACAGCTCCAGAGTTTCATTCAGCTCTTGATCTTAGCTGACAGCCACTGCTGCCCTCCTGCCAGTGTGCCTGCAGGCTTGGGTACCACAGGCAACAGGAAAACAAAAGGGAGGGAAAGGGAGAAAATAAAATTAATTTTTTTTTCAAAAAATGAAAAATTGAATTCTTTAACCTTTAAACATGCTTGTTTACTTACAGAAAGCGTACTTCAGGCACAAAAGGTTTGAGTATCAGTCACATACCACTTTAAATTGAAATAGTATCAGGATTGTCCCATGCAGTCAGCTATATTATCCCCTGTCAAGAAGTTGAAGTTTCAGTTTTTGTATACATACATATATATAAAGTATGCATCTTTCACACAATGGTCTCCTGGTCTGAATTGACTCCAGTGGGGTTTATGTAACAACAGTAGCTGTCATAAGGGCTGTTATCCTTGTAAGAGCAGACAATGATACTATCTTTAGGAGCCACAAAAATGTTATCTTCAATGTCAGGGCAAGGAATGCTGTCCCTGCTGGGAGAAGAGCTCTTCTTCTCCAAGGCACTGTATGTGGAGCCATCTCCCACGAACACATTCTCTGGCATCTCTGGGTAACAGCTCTCCAGGTATTTCAGCATCTCCTCCTGCTCCACCTTTTTGGTGAGGCTCTTGCACTCTGCCGTGTCAGCGGCGGTGGTGCTGGTGGTGCAGATGAACACGGTGTCCTCTCTCCTCAGCCCTCTCCTGTCCTTGCGGTAAGCTTTCCTGGCCAGCTCGTCACAACTTCCCTTGCCAGACTCCAGGTCCGAGGGGGTCCTTAGCAGCTCCATGACATCCCGGTCCCTGATTTCCTTACAGCACGGACGCATGTTCTCGGGACATTTGGTGCAGCCGTCGGTCTTTCTGGTGAGGGCGATGGCGGCAATGCCCGGCAGGCAGATGGCCGGCCCGATGGCCAGCAGCGGGATGTCTCCCAGGGTCTCTCCCTTGATGCCAGACACGGTGAACATGAAGCCGAACACCAGAAAAACGCTGACCAGAGCCACCACAAGCCCCGTCCGGGGGTTGATGTCGTCGGGTCTCAGGGTTCGCGCCATCCAGCTGGTGCGCACGGGGACACTTTCCTCCGCCGCAGCGCCCCGAGGGGCAGGGGACAGACGCTCCCCGGCAAGCCTCCGAAGTTTCCCGGGCAGCGAGGCACGGAGCACCCCGACAGCCGGCGCCGCTCGGCTTTCCCTCGGCGGAGCCGCAGACGGAGGGCGGGCCGGGGCCGGGAGCTGTCCTGCCTCCTGCCTCCTCCCTCGCTCCCTCCCTCCCTCGCTCGTTCCCTCGCTCCCCGGAGCCGGTCGGAGCGGCTCCCCCGCCTGCAGCCCCGCCGCGCCCTCCCACGCTGCCGGCGGGCGCAGGGGGCTCGAGCCCTGCCGAAGGTCGGGCGTGGAGAGACCGGGCGGCTTCCAGCAGCAGCGGCCGGGGAGACAGCTGCCGCGAGGGTTCACCTGCCCGCTGTCCGTCTCCTCCTCCTCATCCTCAGCCGGCCCCAGCGGAGCCCCGCACAGCCGTGAGTACGCGCACCGCCCGGCGCGGGATGCTGCGGGGCCGGCGCGGGGGCTCGGCGGGCTTGCCCCTACCTGATGGCCACCGCTGCTGGGCCGGCTGCTGCCGCCACCCCGGGCAGCCTTTTTTCCCTCTTGGGCGAAAGGGAAAGGACCCCCGACGGGCGCTCTTCCTCGGGAAGCCGGCATGTGCATCCTCCGCACGGGCCCCCGCTCCTAAATTCTCTTCTTCGGTGAGGACGGGGCTTGCGAAGTAAATTGGCTCCTGAGCAGACAGCAGTCCTGCCCCGAGTCTTCTTCTGAGTTAGGCACCTGTGGAGAGCAAGGCTTCAGGAGATGTTCTGTGGCAGCTGGATTTCATCATGAAGGTGGCCCTTAGGGATAAAGTCTCTCCTGATGTTACTCCTTCCCCAAGAATGAACAGAGATGTTGGGGTTCCCTTGGTATCCATGGCCTGCCGACTGTGATGGTGACGTTCTGTCCCTGTGATTTGATGCACTTCAGTGATGGTAATTTGAAGTAAGCACCACCAGCTGAATGAGTATAGAAAAGGATCTCAAACAGGTTGGAATGTGGAAAGGCAGCAGCATCTTCAGGCAGGTTGCCAGTGATACAAAAGACTAAATGCTTTCACCTGGGGCAGAGATACTGGGAGACAAAAAGTAGTGATACCAGAAAGCTTCCAAGAAAGTTAAGGAAACAGAAAAGGACACTCTGAAATAAAATTTTGAAACCAAGTTTTTAAGTCTTTAAGTTTTCCCATTAACATGATTCATTTTCCTCATACTACAAACTTGGAGAGCTCAGAGAAGCCAGTTTAGAAAACAGATGTTTCTCAGGTCATGAAAAGCATGAGTTTTATTTATCCTTCCTACAGCACAACATCAACAGAGCACCTCTGTGTTGTAGATGTCAAACTGCCTTGCAGAGAGCAAGTCCAAGAATACAATTTTGTAAGTGGGAACAACTCCTCCCTTACAGGACACTTTGTAAATGGGGTGTCAAGTTATGGTATTTACTGTTTCATTTGAAGGATGAGTAAATAGAAGTACACAGTGGGGAGAGTTTTTAACTCAGTGGCAATGGCCTGGGTTTGAAATTAAATGTTTGTAATTGACCACAATCAATATTGCACCTTGTCTCCAGAAAATTGTCCAGTAAAATTCACACTGAACCTCTCACCTGTTGCAGAGCAGGCTGATGTTTTGGACTCTGTTAGAAATAACTTTCTTGACTGAGAGATTTAAAAATCAAAACCTTCCGGCTAGCACAAGTTAACTTCTAATTTTGCCACTGTGCAGCATTTAGTAGTATGAGAAATGACAGTAGCGTTCTCAGCTCCTATTTTCCAGAGTGAAAATTTGCTGTTTCTTTCTATCTGCTGTTATTCAGAGACACAGCTTTTATGTCCTTACATTGGAATGAATAATGCCCTTTTTTTTATCCATCAGCTAGATTCTGTATGAAAGGAAGTGATTAATCTTCAGCATCCCTGTCCCACATAACTAAAATGTTGTAAAGTGTAAATTATGAAGTTATGAGTATGTTGGTAACTAATGCCAATGAAAGTCACTGTTCTTACTCCCTGATCCTCCTTCATCTCCCCTAGTGCATTTGGATAGTTTTTCAAAAAATTGGATATTGTTCTTTTGTTGAAAAACAAATTATGATGCCTGGGAAAAGCAATTACCTGAAGCTGTACTCATCAACAGTCCTTCAGAGATAGAAAAAGGACACAGAAATGTAAATATTAGTGGCATTTGTGGAGGGGAAAATTGCTGTAAGAGCTGAAGTACATGTCAGAATATCTAACAGGAGTAAAAATGGCCCTTCAAATTTAAGCGACAGGCTTACTGAGATGGAAGAGGGAACATCTACTTTGGAACAGAAAGCTGTTAGTGGACAGAAAAACACAGAAAATGTCAGGACAAAGGTGGAACTAAATGTCTTCAATTTGTCCCTTTGTGAGTGATTTCAAGACAAGATTGTATGCTTCCAGCAGGAGGGGATAGAAAGGGAAAACAATCACCCAGTTCCAGGAAAGCATGCCATGATTGTTAAAATTGTCTTCCCAAGCTAGATATCAAGAGATCAGCAAGTGCCACTTGACAAAACTGAGCAACAATGCAAATGGCTGCATTTTCTATCCTGTTCATAACTAGAGAAGAAAAATTACTCCTTTGAAGTGAAGTATGTTTCTGTTCCGGTGCTGTACACAAAGATTAGGTACTCAACCACGTTTTTACCTCAGTTTTCAATGGCAACCTCTCTTCCCCCCTCTTGAGTGGATGGGCAGCAGGATGGGGACTGAAGGAAAAAAGTGCTCTCAACTGTAATAGATCAGGGCTGTGACCACCTGAAGAACCTGAACACATGTGTCTATGGGATCTGATGAGATGCTGTGCTGGTTTTGGCTGGGGTAGAGTTAATTTTCTTCACAGAGGCTGGTATGGAGCTGTATTTTGTACTTGTGCTGAACACTGGGTTGATAATAAGAGATGTTTTCATTATTGCTCAGCAGGGCTTACACAGAGCCAAGGCCACACTGGTGGGAAGTTGGGAGTTCATGGGGGACTGGGAGGAGACACAGCCAGGACAGGTGACCCAAAGTGACCAAAGGGATTTCCAGACCATGTGACACCATGCTCAGGATATAAAGAGGGGTGAAGAAGGAGGAAAGGTGGGACATTTGGAGTGATGATGTTTGTCTGCCTAGGTCAGTGTCAGGTGTGATGGGGCCCTGATCTCCTGGAGATGGCTGAACACCTGCTCATGCAAAGCAATGAATTAATTCCTTGTTTTGATTTGCAAGCGTGCGTGGACTTTAGTGTCCCTACTAAACTGTCTATACCTCAATCTATGACTTTTCTACCTTTTACTTTTCTGATTCTCTCTCCAATTCCAATGGTAGGGGGGTGAGTGAGCAGCTGCTGGGGCTTGGCTGCTGGCTGGAGTTAAACTATGACAGATGCTTCCCCAAGTCCCAAGGGAATTAGATCACACGGCCAAGCCAATCTCCACGGTACTTGAAAAGTCCTGGCACTCAGGTGAAGTCCCAGGTGACTAGAAGAGCAGAAATATTGGACCCACCTTTAAAAAAGGTATGAAAGAGAGCTGTGGGAACTACTGATCTCTCAGTCTCCCTGGACTACATTTCCTATTAAAAGCTACCCAGTAGCTCTCTAAATTGTCTTGAGAAGGATTTAATGGGTGGGCTGTTCAGTGGGTAAGGAATTAGTTAAACAGTCACATCCAGAGGGTAATGGTCAACAGCTCAATCTTCACATGAACATTGGTAATAGATGGTGTCCCTTAGGGATCTGCCTTGGGACAAGCACTGTTTAATGCCTTCCTCAGTAATGGAAAATGATTGGCAGGTTTGCAGCCAACCTGCTTTGAGTGGCTTGAGGGTGCTTTTGACACCACAGAAAGTAAGGATGCCATCCCTAGGGACTTGGACAAGTTTGAGGAGTGAGAGTCTCATGAGGTTTAACAGGACTGAGTTCAAGGTGGGTGAGAGGCTGGACATGACCCAGCCATAGGCATTCCCAGCCCAGAAAGCCAAACGTGTCCTGGGCTGCATCCAAAGCAGCGTGAGCAGCAGGGAGGGAGGGGTTTCTGCCCCTCTGCTCTGCCCTGGTGAGAGCCCACCTGGAACCCTGCACCCAGCTCTGGGGGCCCAGCACAGAAAGGAAATGGACCTGTTGGGGTAAGTAAGGAGTAGGGCCACCAAGATGATTAGAGGTATGGAGCATCTTTCCTACAATGAAACGCTGAGAGAATTGTTGAACCTCCTGAGATTCCCATGGGCCCATTTCTCCATCTCACCCACATCCCTGTGCATGACATCCTGTCCCTCACACCACTTACTTTGGTGTCATCTGCAGTTTTGCAGAGGGTGTATGTAATACCCTCGTCTATGTCATTAATGAGATATTAAATAACACTGGTCCCAATACCAACCCCTGAGGGACATCTCTTGTCACTGATGTCCATTGGAACTCTGAGCTGTTGACCACTACCCTCTGAATGTGACAGTCCAACTAATTCCTTATCCATCTAAAAGTCCACACATCAAATCCATCTCTCTCTAATGTAAAGAGCAGGATGCTGTAAGGGACAATTTCAAAGGCTTTACAGGAGATAAATGACATTCACAGTCCTTCCCTTGTCCACTGATGTAGTCACTGTATTCATTCTCTATTTCCAGTCACTGGGGATCTCTCCTGACTGCCATGGCTTTGCAAATATGGTAGAGAGTGATTTGGCAACTACATTAGCCAATTCTCTCAGGACTTTCTGGGATGCATCTCAGTGGATCCCATATGTTCTAATTCCTCAGGTAATCAGGAACCTGATCTCTTAAGAAAGGAACCACTTTTCTCATCCAGTCCCCACCTTGCTGTTCATCCACTCAAGAGGTGTGGGAAGAGACACTGACAATGAAAAAGTTACTGGGTATCTCAGCCTTGTCTCATCCGTTTTTTCCGGTTTTCTAGTCGTGTCATCAGAGGAGTACATTTTCTTTTACCTTTCTTAATAAC